TAACACTAGTGTGTTTTAACTTCCCATCTTCCCATCCTCTTTTCGCCACAATCTAACATTGGAAGCTTCTCTTCCTGACCTTCCAATTCATAAGCGAATTGAATTGCCTCCCATCTCTTCTAATTCCAAGTAGTTAACGGCTGTTACCTAATGTTGATGAGTTTATTTCACTCGCTTTCACCTTTTGTCAGTCGTCACATGCATATATATTGTTGGCCAACAGCTGTTGTATTTCTGGACAATAAAGTCATCTTCACTTCGTTGGACAGAAATGTTTATTGAATTGTGTGTGCGTGTGTCGCACTGAGGTGTTCCTTAGAAGTTTTTCAACATCCACAGCATCCCCGTTAACAGTATTTTATATGATTTCAGGTTGAATGTAGGGTATTCAACTGAAGACTTCGACCAAAATTTGATGAATTCATTAAATCCTGCTTTATTAACCTTAGCTGCTTTTTTTAGATACCGGAGTGCTAGCTGGAGGCTTGCATGCGTATGTTGCGCGTCTAGGCCTAGGTGGTCAATGGTTGCAAATCAGTTAATGAGGATCATCTGCAACTTTACGTAGGTGACAACCTATTTCTAGCCAGCACCAAATTCTGGCACAGCCATCGTCTTCCCTCTGCTACTCTATCCTGGAATCAAATAGGTCACGTTGATTTTTGGCTGCCGGTGGCTACCGCTCCTTCTGGAGTACTTTTCTGAGTTCCAATCATGTTTTAAGTTTTTTTAGGTTTATCACAAACAGGTTGGCTTAAGTAAACCGGCTACACCTATTACTACAACCAAGTATAAAACGGAGCTACACTAAAGTCCCAGGTAGTATAGACAAACACTAGTTGAACTTACAGGATATCATGAAAATAATGGGTGAAGCTGCCTGCGGCTTGGAAGGACGGGATGTCTGCGAGTTTCCTGCAACTTCTTGACGCCTCTTAACCCATTCAGGTGGATGGTGAGTATAATGACCTGCACATAAAGTCGAATGGTGCTTAAGTAGGGGCTGAGAAACCTGGTGATCAGAACGTGTATGGGAGATGAAATAGGCAGCTGCATCTAGCAATAATCGGAGGCTGTTCAAGCATTTCTGAGCTGTTAGTTAGAAGCTTGGTGTCGGCGAGACGATGTGTGAAGCAGCCAGTACGTCAATTAACAACCTAAAAAGATACTTAAAACACTGTGCGGAGCATTTATAAGAGGTATTATTCAGTATTCTTACTTATAGTGCTCCAGCTAGTGAAGCAGAGGTCTGAAATAAGCTCCGACTACTCGAACGCCATGACGCACCTGGTCCAAGCAACTTGTCCCTACCTATTTTTAAAGATAATGGTGAGACCGTAGTCAGAAAACTGACTGAATTGTTTAGAGAAGTATGAGAAAATGAGGATATTCCATGAATGTGGAATGAAGACATTATTCTGCCTGTCTTCATAAAGGCCTATGCCAATACATACAACAATCATCAGGGTATTATTCTGTTACCAGTTGCGTCTAAAATATCAGCTGCTGTCTTGCTCTGCAGGCTTTGTAGAACTTGTGAGAAATTTGTTTGCCAAGAGTACTCTGGGCTTCCCTCAGGTCATGAATGCATCGATCACGTGTTCATCTTTTGTGTTGTTGTTGGTTGTTAGAATATTTTCAGTCGTATTGCAGGCCAATTATCGTTGTACTTGTTGGTATTAGGACTGCTTTGGATTCGTTGGACAAAACCGTTCTCTGGAATTATCTGTTAGGGAGAGTTGTTCCTTAGTTCATCAACATCCTGAAAGCCTTCAAGTAGAAATAGGGCATACAAACACCTATAAGTGCTATATCTCTAGCCAACAGTGGAGCTAGGTAGGGTCACTCAATCTACCCATTTCTGTCTAACTTTACTATTGATGACACTCTGGTAAAAAACTTTGGAGAATATGAGCCAGGATGGTGTAGACCTGCTGTCTGAAGGAAGTTTGCAGGTGATGTCGTCTTAGCATGCGATAACATTCAGGTACTCAAGTTGTACTTAGTCAGTTGGTCACCGGTGTCTTTGAGCATAATATATGCTTTGCTCCGTCTAATTGCAAGAATTGCGCTCACCCTCGCAGGTGAACCATTATAAGTAGTTGACAAGTTCATGTATCTAGGATGGTTGTGCAGATGCTGGTTGAGATGTAGTAGATGAAATTTCCAACCATATAATGCAAGCCTGAGCGACATACACCCAAATTGGTCACCTCCGACGACGTCGGAACGCGATTGTAGCCGTTAAAGGTTGAGTTTACCGTAATGAATTAAAAGGCATGAAACTGTTATATAGGATACCATTCTCTGATGTGTGACGAAAATGCCTCTCAATTTTGGATTGGAGTGTCAACACAGTAATTTAACTACATTCTGTGCATGTAATTATCTAGGTCTTCTAACCCTAACAATAACCCTAATCTTTCATTAACCTAACCCTAACGTGAAAATATCCCCAAACTAATCCTAATCTCACACGGATCAACCCTAATATCGCCCTTATCAGGTTAATCTAATCCTAACCTGTCCTTAGCCTAAACCTTAACTTAATCTTATCCAAAACTACCGAAAACTTACCACATATCCTGTTTAATATCAAAACACTTCGATAAGCATGTTTTATTCATGATCACAACATTATTTGCCTGGTTTCACTAACTTGTTCATTAAGCGTTCCAAGGCTATTAGTGCGGTCACACTCCATTGGTACTTAATAGTGCTTAAAGTTTAACTTGGCCATGTATCTCTTCGTAATCGTAATGTCCTAGATCTGTGTCGGTGTTTCATCGGCAGAATGCTCATCAACCACTCTTAGGGTCTGGGGTTCGACCTCCAGCCAACCCACTCCTAAACCTCGCTAAGCCGGTAGTGTAAGCCCTGTATAGAGGGAAGGTGTTGGGTATGAGGCTAGTTACACCGTCTCTTAAAAATAATAAAAGTAGCCCTGATACTGAGACATCAAATCTCTAGTTTAAAGTCCTATGTTTCACTCGGAATGCAAAGGAATAAAATACGTAAAAGAATTCACCCACTTTTTATTGGACACTAGTCAGTAACTAGTGTAATGTGTCTATTCCCATCTTCGGTGCAGACTGAATTCTATCAGTCAAGCTTGCAATGTGGTCACCATGCCACTACTAGGTGGCTCGCCATCACGGTGCACTGTGAATTGTTGGTATTAGATGGTTGGAGGCAATCGGCCACAGGAAGCCTTGGACCTAGGTTTCGTGCTAGTTGGCACTCACCAGTCAGTCAGCAAGGCATATCTGTATCCTTGAAGGAACTCATGTCCCTTCTGAGATTCGAATCCGCGTTACCCAGTGTTTGACTGATAGAATTCAGTCTGCACCGAAGATAGGACTAGACACATTACACTAGTTACTGACTAGTGTTCAATCAAAAATATCCAATACAGTACTACAGGAGGTTAAACGTCAGCCCAAATAGCTCAGTGGTAACGTCTCTGACTGCAGGCGGCACTGGGTGACGGTTCAAATCTCAGAAGGGACGTGAGTTTCATCAAGACTGCAGATACGCCTTGATGACTGATGAGTGCCGACTAGCACTACTGTTAGAGGTTGCAAATTGTAGTTTAGTGTAAGGTTCAATAGTGTATGGATACATTTACTTTTCGATTTTGTACTGATTTATGAATAAGTTTCAGAATTGTGCTAATTTTGGTTACATTACATTGGTAATGTAGTTTAGTAGTCTTAGTTTTCACTTTTATCTTGTTTGCGAAAGAAAAGATAACACCAGTTATGGAGATAGATTGTATTATAGTGATAAAAGAAACTAATTTTCCACGGCTATTCAACTCGCAAGCAATTCAGTTGGAAATCTGGTTTAGGTAGCATATATAAAAATCTGACGTATGATACTAATAAGTCTGCTGGTTTATCTTAGTGACTATTGGTAGATAGTTTCAGCTTATACAGATCATATGTCGCTTTAAACATGCCTTCCAATGGTCCTATTATCCAATGTCAGTTCATGATGAAAATCCTGTAACCAGTCAAATCCCTGCAAACTAACACTAAAATATTAATCTGATGCCCACTAGTGACTGGTCCTATTCAGGTAGATAGTTACCTGAGTTCTAGTAGGAAGTTGTGACCAGTGGGGAGGTACAGCAGGTCGGGTGTGAGGACAAATACTCGCCAACGATGACATCGGCTAGTGCCAGTCGCTCTATATCGTACGTGAATTGGCCATTGGATCGAGTCCCAGTGGCTGAATAGTCTACGAGATAGCTTGACTTGTAACCGGAAGGTGGCGGTTTGAAACCCTGGCAATCAATGGTGTTGGTGCGTGCTGATGGAGAGCTCCAAACTAGGCTGACGAAACAGCTGGCTGTCGAGTACTCGAATGCTGGTTTTCCAATGGTCCTGTAACTCCGATGTCAACTCTTGATGAGAATTCTGTAACCAATCAAAATCCCTTCAAATAATTAATTATCGAAATTTTCAAGGAGGGAAAGCTGTGCTCTAGTAATCAACTTAAGAACTACCGTAGGTGCCATAGTTTCTAGGATTGATATAATCTTTAAAGTTAACGGTAGTTGGAGACAGAGAGATAAAACTAAAAGGTTCTAGGTTTTGGTTTGGATACGCCGATTGAATCTCCGCTTCCTGTCGTGTCTGGCATTCAGAGAATAGACTATATTTAAATTCACAAGTTGGGGTCTTTTGGTGGTGGTAATATTTCCCACCGGAATAACTCTCTGGTAAACGCATCTCGCCTCATTAAAGTGAGGGGGGAGGTGGCAAGGATTACTTTTAAGCATTTATGATTTGTATGTGGGCTTATATTGTGCGTTATTCTCTGATTACTTACCGTCTATAGAAAGTGTCAGTGATGTTCAGCTTCTATTTCACCTCAGTAATGTATCCGTTTTTATGAAGGTTTAGTTATAATTTTATTTGTTATTTCAAAACTTGTCTATTTTTTTCACTTATTTTATGTTCTGTTTTGTGGTCATCACGTTTTTTTCTTTTTAGTTGACTGAACAAATGGACGCGGAGTTGAACACTTTATTCACCAATTTACTCAGGGTTGGTAAACGTCGTCCGTATATAAAACGATTATTGTTCAAATGGTTTGGAGCATGTATACATGCTAACAGAGGTAAGCCTACCCTTTTTCGAGTTTTTCCGTCCGATTTCCTTTCTTTGTTACTACTAGGAACAAGAGTTGTTGGTATTTCTCTTGTGCATTGAAGTTTCTGTAGCCGTTTGGTTGATTTTCTGGGATAGGGTCGCTAGCCTCACTCCCAACCCCTCCCTCTTTACCTGGGCTTGGTGCTGGTTAGAAAATTAGGCTAGGTTATGGAGGGGGCAGCCGGATTCGGATTTTCAACACAAATGTTAAGTCAATCAGCCACTTTTTCTACATGGGTCAGCAACTTGCACTGTGCGTAAGCCACGAAAAGCATTTACAACAAGCCAGTGCAGACTTTTATCAGCAGCTGCCCCCTTCTATGACTCCATATTGAATCTGAAATGACCGGCGAGAAAGAATTAGCAACGAGAATCTCTGGGGAAAAACTAACCAAGAACCTATGTTTCAACAAATATGTAGAAGAAAATGGAGATGGATCGGGCACACGCCACTGAGGAGACCGTTGTCTGACATCACGCTCAATGCAGGCCATCGGTCGACTGGAACCTGAATGGGAAACGGTGAAAGTGACATGTAGGAGATCGTGTGGTGAGGAGGAGATGAGATGTGGGGTCAGCTGAACAGGACACCAAAAGTAAAACAAAATGGAGACGTTCTGTTGAAGCCCTATGTTCCACTAGGAACCCAGGGAAACTACAATGAGGAACTTTGGTTTCCGTATGAAGTAAGTATGTGATGTCATGTAAATATTAGTAGTGTGATAGTCGTTTACTGAAACACGGGTGTATAACTCTAAGTCTGTATTCTCCAAGTAACTAAAATCTGACACACATGCACGCTCACAATATAAGACAGATTATTGCAATTTAGAGCGGTCTTAATACTCCGGTTGTTCATGTAATTGTTTTTTCAAAGCAACATACTTGCGAATTGATAGTGGTTAAATTTTATGAGAACCCTTCGACAAAAAGAGAAATCCTAAAGGCAATAAAAATGCTAAAACCTGGAAAAGAAGCAGGTCGGTCTGTCGGTTTTCGACATAGAACTTTGCACATATGTGCGGCAGTTCAAGTCGCCACACTCCATGTAGCACACAAAGCAAGAGAATAAAGTAGAAGAAATGCATAATATAGTCAGTAAACAGAGGTATGAGACAAAGGAATAGTAATAATGGAAATCATAAGTCACAAGGAGTGGAAAAGAAGCAGGACCAGACGGAATCCCCGCAGAAGCATTGAAAATGCACTCAGGAACATCAGCGGACTTGATGACACCACTACTGGAGAGGGTGTTGAAGGAGGGCAAGGTACCTGCGAAGTGGGAGAAAAGCTATTTATTCAAACTGCCGAAGAAAGGAGACTTAAGTCATTGCAAGAACTGGTGTGGCATTATGCTCCTGTCCATCCCAAGCAAAATACTAAGTCGAATCATCCTGGCGAGAAACAAACAAGCCCTGGATGAAAAACTTCGACCGGAACAGGCTCAATTCAGGAGGAACAAGTCATGCACAGATCAAATCGCAACACTACGTATCATCATTGAACAGAGATTGGAATGGCAGTCAGCTCTCTGTCTCAACTTCACTTACAGCGTCGGTTGTGAGGTGATTTGGCAACTACTTCACTACTACGGGGTGCCGCCAACAATTATACACCTCATCCAACAGTTGTACAATAATGCTGCATGCCAAGTAATCCACAATGGGAAACTCACGGAATCCTTCGAAGTGAGGACAGGAGTAAGACAAGGATGCCTACTATCGTCAATGATTTTCCTGATTGTGGTAGACTGGATAATGTGACAGACAGCGGTCAACAAGGAGACAGGCATCAAATGAACTCACACAAAAACTTGGAAGATATGGACTTCGCCGATGATATATGTCTGATTTCTCACAAACTGGAAGGTATGGAAGTGAAAAGCAACATGTTGGCAGAAGAAGCATCCAGAGAAGATAGGCCTTGAGGTAAACATAGAGAAAACAAAGGTGATGAATATTCCTGACCAACAGCAACACCACCAACAACAGAAAACAATCAGCATAAATGGGAGAAGTCTGAGAGAAGCAACCTCCTTTACCTACCGACCTGGAAGGCATCGTTTCTACTACAGGCAGAACTGATGAGGAAGTTACTTAGAGCTCAAGTGAGAAATCGTAACCAAACACCAGGGTCCACCAATGATGTAAGAGGTGAGTTACTCCCTTATCGTGGATTACCAGAAGTTGGAATCTATGGGCTGACAATTGGATCAGGACCCCGTGGCCTAATGGTCTACGAGCTTGCTTGCCTTGTAACCTGAAGGTCCTGGGTTTGAACCCTGGCAGTACGTACTGTGAAGAGTCCCAGAGTAGGTTATGGATTCTAAAAATTCACTCGCACCACCTGCTGCTGAGTTTCGATGATCAGTTAGGGTGGTGTAAAATCAACCCGCACATACTCATAAATGTGGCGCATACATTGATGTTATTTTTTGTTGTTGAGTAGCACTCATATATTTGTTTTTTTGATTTGTTTCTTTCTTCACTGGATCGCTTTATTTCATTCTTTTAAAATTTACTTTAATCTCTTTTTCTGATATTCGCCTATGTATAGTATATATTATGTGAAGAGACTAATTAATATCTTTGTTGCTTGTGTACTTTTGTCTTTCTCTGTGTGGGTAAACTATTGGTACATTGATTGGCTTAAAGAAAAGGAGTGCATATATGTTCTTTTTGTGTTGTGTATATATGTGTGTGTATGCTTTTGGGTGCAGGCTACAACATGTTGTGTGATATTAGAATGAAAAATCAACTATTAAAGGCTGTATTTTCATTATCATAAACACTATGTCTTTATGTAGTTTTTACTACTATACACATGGAATCGATATCTACTATTGAAGTTATTGTAAGCTTAAGTAGGCGATTAATCGTTATTGTGTTGGCTCATTGGCGTGATCAATCGATTTGCAACTAAGGAGAAGGAATATTTTGAGAAGCAATTTAACTGGCTTACAGCCAGGCTCAACTTAATGAGCGTTAAACACCTCCGTTGAATGGGATATTAATACCGATCCTCCGTCTGTAACTAAGGTTGCAAAAGCTGTCACGAATCTGAAACGAGGCAAAGTAGTGGGAGCTGATGGAAATGACTCCAGAGGTATTTAAGTACGGTGGAGACAGTTTACTGTCTCCGTTAACTAAGGTACTAGGCATAGTCTGGGAATCAGAGGAAGTCCCGTCGGGTTGGTGTAAGCCACTGATTATCTCGATATACAAGAAGGGAGACAAGTCTTCCTGTGATGATCACAGGGGTATTAGCTTGACTGATATGGTATCTAAAGTCCTAGGCTGAATAATAATGTGTAGACTAAGTGGTGCTCGGGAGGCACAAACCCACGAGAACCAGGCAGGCTTTAGACCAAGAAGAGGGTGTATTGATGATATCTTCACTCTTCGACAGATTCTGGAACATAGGTATACTTACTGGCGTCCAACAGTCATTATATTTCTTGACCTATAGGCGGCATTTGATTCTGTCGACCGAGAGGTTCTCTGGCGATGCTTGGCTGTAAAGGGAATGCCGAGAAAATACATTGCACTGATCAAGGCACTCTACTCGAACTCATGCAGTCAGCCAGGTGAGGGCTTACGGCGAGTTGTCATCTGAAGTGGTGACAACTAGTGGTGCCCGGCAGGGATACCAGCCCACTATGGACCTAACCCTAACTGACTTCAGCGACTCAGATATTGATTTGTTACCACCAAGGAATAGTAGTCTTGTTGACTTGAAATATGCGGATGATATAGTCCTCTCTCCTAGGCGAAGACGCTGACAAAATGCAGTCGAGTCTTCTGAACACCTTAAAGAGCAGCAATCTTTAGATGTTTGCCATGCGATTCGCTCCTGTCGAATTTAAGATGATGCTACACAAGTGGACTAGACTGGACTCCTTCAACTCACTCCTAGGTTATAGATAGGGAGGCAGGAGTGAAGTGGTTAATGGAGCGTGTTGACCACGTCACTTATATGGTGGGAAGTTGCATCAACCCTATCAATGTGTTGATAGTTGACGAAGTCTCAGAACGGATGCAGCAGGCTTGTTTGGCATTCACCTGCCGAATTAAGTCATCTTTGCCTTAGTAGACGTGATATCCACCCGGCTGGCTGGCTACCTGTCAAGCAAATGACGTGTACTGTTCAGGCTCAGCATTCGCCTCACTCCATCCTCCTTCATGGGTTGCTGGCTGTCTGTGAGTGAGATATGGCCGCTGAAAAACCTGACTACTAGCTAGCTAGCTAGATGTCTTTTATCATAAATGTCTGCTTGTGTTCTATCTCCCATGTGTGTTTGGAGGCTGTGTAATAAGGTAAGGTGGTTAGGCCTCGGTCGAGTGCTGGCTTGGCATGTAAGAGGGGAAATCAATCGACGAGGTTGTGAAATTACATGGATTGAGAGAGATGGTTGGGACATATGTTACGCTTACCCTGCCTTCGCGTTCCTCGACAACGGGCGATGTTAGCTGTATGGGATAGGATGGATGCAGTTGGAAAAAAGTCATGATAACAGTTAGTGGCCAACCAGCCAGCCAGATAGGTAGGTAGGGAGGTGTAGACTGCCAGTATGGTTGTCGTTGGGATGACGGTAAGTACCAATGCCGGTGACTGGAGAAAATTGGTGCCTATGGCTGAAAAAACTGTCGTTGTCAATGGCTGGTGCAGATGCATTTACACTCCTCTTTGTGATTTGCCAGTCATATCCAATAGAACTCTATTGTTTTTCCCTCACACTTGTGTTTATTATCTTCCTCTCTTGATGAATCTCCTCTTTTACTCTCTTCTCTTGCTTTGTGTGGTGTGCATGGAGGGAGACTGGCAATTTGTAACTGGTGCACATGTGTGTGTGTGTGTGTGTGTGCAAAGTTCTCTATTGAAACCAGAGTATCAGTCAGTTTTTTTCGCTTCATTAACTACTATAATATAATAATAATATTTATTATGTTTACCATCGTCTTATATCGATCAATTGAATTTTGTTTACTTTGTTATGTGTTTTATATAAAAGCTGAATAATTTCAATAATCTTATAGGTTATATGATAAAAACAAAAGTAAATCATAAAGACTGTATTTAGAATCTTTAAAGTAAAATGTCTTCTCATTGTTTTTATCATTGTTCTGCATGAACTTTGATGGTTTCTTCTATTACTGTCTGTCTATCTGTCTGTCTGTCTGTCCATCAATCGTTAGAGTTTAGCTGTTGCGGCATAAAGAGCATATAGTTTCATCATCCTTAGAAGACACTCAGATTCTCATTCAGATTCAAATCCAAGAACTATCGTGTTGTGAACGGGGACAGGCTTCTTTGTTACCTGTATATAGCCCCGTGATTTATGCACATTCACAGGGCAATGCGCGCACACACACGCTACCTTAGTCACGTGCCTATTAGATATATAAAAGAAATATTGTTGTTAAATATACCTACGAGCAGAGCAAGAAAGATGTGTACGGATGACCTCTTACAAAAGGAATTTGAATATATATTCATGATTCCTTGACAGAGATGGGCTATCCGAGTAGTAGTTTCATAAAGAAACATATGAAAACATCAGAGAGAAAACCTGAGACTATGACTGCACGTAAAAAGCCTCTATTTATTAAGTTACAATTTAATGGTGACTTATCAAGTGAGATTTTATTCCAAAGACTTTCCAGAAGTATACGAAGAACTTTTTACGCATGTGGCAAACCTCTGTTTGTTATTCTCTAGCCGACGAATGATTGGGACGCAAGCGAAGGATAAGCTAGATAGTTTTGCCACATCTTTGTGCATTTATCAATTCAACTGCACCTGTGGTGACAGTTATGTTGGGCGTACTACTAGACAGCTTAGCCGACTTGTCACTACTGAACATCTCCCATCGTGGTTTGGCAAAGGGTAGACAAAAGCACGCCATAGCTCAATTTTGTCACATTTAGTTGATAGTAGTCATGTAGTGGAGAAAACGAAAGCTTTCAAAGTAATTCATCGTACTACACCGAATCCTTTCAATAGACTTCGTATTCGTCTACTGCAGGCACACAGCTGAGGCGGTAGGCATTCGAACTATTAAACCTAAACTATACATTCAAAAGAAGTTCGTACAGCCATTATCCCTTCCTTGTCGGCCTATTAAGACCTGATCAGCTGATGATATCACCACCATACCTTGCTTATATTTTCAATCGTCAATGGTTTTTATGAACTGTACATAGAACTGATTCATTTCGCTGTACTATGTGAGGTCATTATGTGATGTCATTAGTTGCTACACATTAAATAGTGTTTACCACAGATCTATTTAGATAGTCACTTGTTTGAACATCTTATACATTTTAACCTTTTCAAGTATTTGACATCATTTTCAAAGTGTTTCCTAACAACACGTCATCTAATAATAAATGTGTTAGATTGATGAAGTTACAATTTTTGTTTTTTCAAACAGTTTCATGCCTCAGTAGCACAACGGTAGGATGCTCGCCAACGACGCCCCATGTGGTACGGGGTTCGATTCTCGGCCTCAACCTCTTGTACCATTCGATCTCACTGTTAGAGATGATCTTAAAAGATTCTGGTGTAGTCACTTGACCTGAGTTCACCAAGAACTCAATTGAGCTAGTAATTTTCTAGCATTTTTCTCTTGATAAACAATTTCAGATTGTGTTCAGAGATACGTTTGGAAAGTGTGTGCCTCGTGTAGTCATACAAACACAATCTGAAGTTTGCTCAAAGTGGCAGTTTTTCCTTCACACATTCTTTGAACACTGTAGAAGTTGATCCGCAGCTCAGTCGAAAAGACACCTTTTCCCAGAGTTTTGAATAATCAGTTATTCAGAATCCCAGTTGTGGTATCATAAACAGTATTTCTTCGGTACGGCTCGGACTCTTTCTAACTCCTGCTTTATTTTCACCTTTTTTCTCTCGAGGAATCTTGGAGATTATCGATTTTCAGTGAAGACTCTCCAGTTTATCATCGATTGTACTACTTGTGCACATCCTTGTTATTTTTGAAGATAACGAGTGGATCAAGCTTCCCTTTCTTTTCAAGGGTACCCAAATATGAAAATTTGTGTATTGATGATTCTATATCGGCTTCCTGTAGATAGGTCTCTGATCTCCTTTTTAACAAAACGTCCCGAAAAGTGGAATTCAGGCGTGAATTCGTCAGATGACTTGTGGCAATTGTTGAACTCCACCCTTATGATTTTGATATCAGCATTCTTGTCACATACAGCCGACGCGATCCCGAACCTCGCTAATTCAGTAATGAAACTGATAAAGAAAGAAGGTTGGGTATGAAGCTACCCCATCCCGTAAAAGTAAAACAACCCAGTGCTACCGAAACTTTAAGCCTCTAGCTTGAAGCCACCCTATGTCCCACCACTGAGAATGTAAAGGAATAAACAAAAATAAAGTTTCATGAGTTTTTCTGTCTGCTTAACTTGTCAAAAAGTCGCTTTTTTTAACAAGATTTCTTCATGAGCTGACATTGGTTAGAGAACCATTGGAAAACCAGCACTGGAGTACTCGACAGTACTGCCTAGTTTGGGGCTCTTCCTTTACCACTGCCAGGGTTCGAGCCCGGGAGCTTCCGGTTACAAGTTAAGTTAGTAGAGCATTAAGCCTCTGGGACCTAATTCAATGGCTATCCCATGAATTTCAACTTCTGCCAACCCAAGAAAAAGCGCGATTACTAGGCTTGGGAGGACAAATACTTACTGAAGACTAACTGAGTGATAGTAATTTGTTTCGCCTCAATTTTTACAACAATAAAAAGGACCTACTGAATTTATGAAATATATTTTGAAGATTTTTCAACTTTATCAGATGACAATTAGCATATATATTATATCAGAAAAATAACTACTATGATAAGATACAAACTAGTATATCCGTTTTGTTCCCGAAGAAGAAATTCAAAAAAGGACATTCAATTTTTTGATCATGTTTATCACTGTGACAATATCTGGTTATTTGTTTTATAGTGTGATTACTCAGAAATAATCTCAAGTACGCCCTCACTCGTCTTTTCTTATTCTCGGCTTCCACTCAAGTGATGACTTGGCTGGCGCGCGTTGTCATTTGATGGTCCCCTCAGCGTCTTCTGGTTGATTAGTAGTATTACTATTTTTCTGAACAGTGATTCTTTGCATAAGAAAAGTAATCTCTCTGTTGACGTTTGTCAAATGTCCGGTGTAAGTTTGTTAGCCAGTTGCACCATTGGTTGAAAGTCGAAAGGAATGAGTGTAAAATCAATGCGACGTCTTAAGCTTTCAAAACATGTGAGTTAAAGGTGAATTGAATAAATACACTAAACTATTGTTTTACTTTTTTATTTATTTATTTATTTTTTCTAAACACAGCTCGAAGTCAACTAGCCCAGTCAATGATGCATCATGACTTAATGAATCGATCAAATACACCAAATTTAGCTGGTGATGGATTTCTTAGCAATTTGACAGCAGTTTTAGTTCGACTCACAGGACCGTTAGTTACCCTACCGGATAGACCACCGTTGGATAAAATTTGGCCAAAATATGCCAAAGATTCATGTTCTGAACGAGTAGTTTTACCAGGTAGGTAATGTTAATTTTTCTAGGACAAAATAAAAAGAAACAAAACTCTGTTTTGCTATTTCTCTCTCTCTTAAAAGTGGGTGTAACGGGGAAAGGCAACCATATTTATGGTTCTCTAGGTCAGTGCATAATAAACTGTTCTGATTGGTTGTTGATTTTCCGAAAGTAAAACTCTCCTGATTGGTTGCTGATTACTTTCTGAAGGTTAAACCTTGCGGTTATTTCCTGACCACAACGTAAGCTAGATTCATACTCGAGAAATAAACTCTTCTACTTCTTCTGTACCTACTGACTTCAAATGTTGTTTTCAATTTTGGCTAATTCCTATCAGTTTGTGTCTGATATGTATATACTACTGATAATTCTTGTCAGTACCACACGCCACACAAGAATTATCTTAAATTCGTATCAAGGCTTCCCTGTTATTTATATTAACAGTTAAGTTAGTAGGACCATATTTTCTGTTTCTTAACGAAATAACGGCAGTGTTGATGTGTTACACTTCACAGGTGTATGTGATGACCATTTTTTTTATTGAATCAGTTCCATCATAGTTGAAGGCTTCTCTGTTTTACCGCAGTTTACACGTGGCTGTCCAGTAGGCGAATAATTCTTGAAGGAATACACACAAGTTCAAGAATCAACATCAGGTTTAAAGAATCATTGAAAAACACGCAATACTGCAGAACTGCTCTGTCCTTGTTCGAGACTGTGAGCACGCTAGGTAAGGAGAAGGGCGAGTCAATCGACGGGGCTATTAAGTTACGTCGAAAACACTAAGATGGTTAGGACTTGTGTTACGGATGCCTAGTCTAACCATCAACATTCCTCGACGGTCAGTGTTTATCCGTTGATATGGGATGGATCAGGGTGGAAAAGAGTTGGCTAGTGGTGGTGGTCAAAGGAAAACATGGCTTCATCATTCAATGAAATCCATGAAAACAGTTAGTTTCAGCCAGCCATCCATACACGTAGGGAGAGAGATGTAGACTGCCTGACCGGCATTGTGGTTGGGGTCGTCGGAATGGTAAGAACCAATGACGGCGACTGGAGACAATTGGTGATATGGTTGAAAATCGTCACTCGCTGTCACTCAGTCAGTGGGTTGGCAAGCAAATTATCATTGAACTGGCTCACTAAGAGATGTGTTTATTCGTAGTTAGAAAGATTTATGTTTTCAACTGATTATTTTCCCCTCTTATTAGTATTATATGACTTTCAACAGCTTCAATGTGTGTGTGGTTTTCCTTTTCTCCATTGGTTTATTTTATTAATGCATTGCAATTTGTAGAACTTCGTGGAGAAACACGTCTTGCGCCTAATTCATCGCATACTCCTGAGAAATTAGAAAATACCTCATTAACAGCTGAAGATGACTATCCTTTATTAACTGAATTATTTTTCCTTGCTCATGCTGCTATACGCATTGGTTGGACTCCATTAATTGCTAGACACTTTGAAACTGGTCAACAATTACATCGTCTAGAGGATCAGCTACAACCGCATGAATCTGATGGTCCGAATAGTTCGAATGATTCTCAAGGTAAAGTATTTTCATATATATTATAATTATTATTACTGTTTCCTTTAATTCCTAGAGGGACATAGGGCTTCAGCCGTGCGTCTCCATTGCGTTCTGCTAGAGTCTTCACCTGGCTCCAAGTCCGCCCACACGTTTTCATCTCCTCTTCAGATGACTTCCTCCAAGTCACCCTTGGACGACCAACTCGCCGCTTCCCTTTCGGGTTCCACTCGAGCAATGGCTTGTCTAGTGATGTCACTTGATGGATTGTTTCCTCAGAGTATGGCTAGCCAATCCATCTCCATTTCTTCCTGCCTATTTGTTTCACAATCGGTTCCTGCTGGGTTGGTTCGCTCCCAGAGATCTCTGTTGCGGATCTTTTCTGGCCATGTGATCTTGAGTATTGAGCGAAGATAACTGTTAATGAAGGTCTGTAGTTTGTTTGAGATGCTCTTTATGACGCGCAGTGTAAGTCTCTGATCCGCATAGTAGCACTGACTTCACATTGGAGTTGAAAATCCGGATCTTAATTTGATGCTGAGTGCTGTTGACCTCCACACAGACTTGAGAGTGGTGAAAGCTTGTCTTGCTTTTCCGATTCTTGCTTTGATATCCTCGTCAGTTCCGTTCGCCTGTAGTTGAAACGATGCTTCCCAGGTAGGTAGAGGAGGTTGTTTCTTTCAGATTCCTCCCATTTATGCTGATTGTTTTCTGTTGTTGTTGGTGTTGCTGTTGGTCAGGAATATTCATCACCTTTGTTTTCTCTATGTTTACCTCAAGGCCTATCTTCTCTGGATGCTTCTTCTGCCAACATGTTGCTTTTCACTTCCATACCTTCCAGTTTGTGAGAAATCAGACATATATCATCGGCGAAGTCCAAATCCTCCAAGTTTTTTGTGTAGGTCCATTTTATGCCTGTCTCCTCGTCGCCAGACCCGCTGTCTGTCGCATTATCCAGTCTACCGCAATCAGCAAAATCATTGGAAACATTAGGCAGACTTGTCTTACTCCCGTCTTCACTGCTTTGAAGGATTCCATGAGTTTCCCGTTGTGGATTACTTGGCAAGCAGCACTGTCGTAAAACTGTTGGATGAGATGTATAATTGTCGGTGGCACCCCGCAGTAGCGAAGTAGTTTCCAAATCACCTCTCGATAGACGCTGTCTGTTGAAGGCCTTTTCAAAGTCGATGAAGTTGAGATAGAGAGATGACTGCCATTCCAGGCTTTGTTCAATGATGATCCGTAATGTGGCGATCTGATCAATGCATGACTTGTTTCTCCTGAATCCAGCCTGTTCCGGTCGAAGTTTTTCATCCAGGGCATCATATATATATATCTATATATATTTTCTATTTCAGCCTCCTTCAGTGATCATTTACATATTGTATGCATCCATGTGTGAATTATTCACTGATGATGGGCAAACTTCAACAATAGGCATCCTAAGGGATGCGATTCGCACGAGTGACCTTCAGCCGACCAACCATAAAAATAAGTGACTTTTGCAAACAAAGAAAATGACGTATATTTACAACAACAAAAAATGCATGAAAACACATTAACACAGGGTATCTTTCTCTGACACATGACTTAAAAATACGTCCCAGTTATAATGAGGAGTATCACAGTTGCTAAGTTAGACTAGTTTCTGTTCATGTATTCACCGAGGTTAAATTAGCTGCTTAGTTGGTGAATAGCGTTGATATTTCATCTACGATAATGACAGGTGGTGCCGTCAGACAACAACTGGCATGCGTTCAAGGTCATGGGAGCGTCCGCACTCCTCAGGGACGCTATTGTTGAACTTCGCCCACTCATGTAATGGAACAAGTGCGCTGGTAAAGTAGTGACTATTAAGTGTTGGTTTGCAGGGATTTGATTGATCAATTACAGGATTTCATTATGAGGTTGACATCGGTTAGAGAACCATTGGAAAACCTGCACTGGAGTACTATTGGACAACCAGCTGTTTCGTCAGCCTAGTTTGTCACATACTGCTGAAGAGTCCGCAACTAGGTTGAAGAAGCAGTTGGCTATCCAGTACCCCAGTGCTGGTTATCCAATGGTCCTCTAACGGATGTCAGTTCATGATGAAATCCTAAAGATCATATATTACTGAGAAAATTGAGTATTTCTGTGCAGACACTGTGTTATAATATTCAAGTATTGGTTTGTAGGGATTTGGTTGATTGGTTACAGGATTTCATCATGAGCTAACATTGGTTAGAAAACCATTGGAATTGGCAGAAGTTAGAATTCATGGGCCATTGGATCGGGTCCCAGTGGCTAATGGTCTACGAGCTAGCTCGCCTTCTAACCAGAGGGTCCTGGGTTCGAACCGTAGTGGTGGGTGCGTACTGGTGAAGAGTCCCAAACTAGGGGGAAACAGCTGTCTGGCAGTACTCCAGTGCAGGTTTTCCAATGGTTCTCTAACCAATGTCAGCTCATGATGAAATCCTGTAACTGTGCTATAAGTTTGGAGTATTCGGTATTCTGTGTATGGATGAGAAACTAACATTTTGTTAAACAGTTCCACAGATAAATAAATAAGCAATATATCATGCCGAGAAAGTTCCTCTTTTAGGTATCTATTGTATAATATTCCGTTTGTCTCTTAAGTGTTGAATGTGTGAGCTAATATAATCTATAACCACAGTTACAACTTTCGTAAATTTTACATGGAAACAAACAGCTTTTATTTTTCCTTCTGGTCATATTTTATTTGAATAAAGCCAAGAACAACAATAACAGTGGTTTGTGCAGAATAAGAAGATGGTACCATCCTTGGTTTATTTCGTTGGCTTTTCATCATCAACTGCGCACAGCCCAACGATATTATTAAGTTTATGTACAGAAACAATTTTAGCATACTTTGCTCAGAGAGTTCAATTTTAAACAAAAAAAAATCAATGAGGTTCCAGACGTTTGATGGAGATTACTTCTGCAAACTTGATGAGAACTCCATTATGGATAAGATTTTATTTTGATAAGTCACACAGTGTTACACAGTAATATCAGTTAATATTACTGTGTAACACTACACTGTGTGATTTATCAAAATAAAATCTTATCCATAATGGAGTTATGCTCTACCACAGTGCCGAAGTTTTATACTTATATCAAACTTGAGGAAAATTGAACTCTTGCCTGTTGATAATTTTGAAAGATCTTGAGATATCCATCTCATGACTCATATCAAGGGAACAAATGGTTTCAATAGTGCCATTTCCAGGCATCTCCTTGATGCGGGTCATGAGGTGAACGTCGCAAGATCCTTCAAAATTATCAATAAACAAAAGAGCTCAATTCTTCTCAAGTTTGCCGAAGCAGTCTCCATCATGTGCCTGTGTGGTGGTGTGATTATAGACAGTGTGCTCCAACGGAATATTATTCTCACATATTCCCACGGTTCAATACAGCATTAACAACAAAATACTATGTATCTATTTTAACATTCTATTTCATGTCCTTTGATGTGAACCGAAATCACACGCTCAGTGATTGGTTATATATATATATAAAGCGGCTTGATCAATGGAAAATATACCTTGGCTTCCGTGCCTTGCCTTCAGCTGTTACACCTGGAACCTGATTGATGTGTTGAGAGAAAGAAGCAGTTATCAGTCTTTCCCCCTGCCCTGGTAACTGGATGTCTTTATTCTCTCTTTACATTTGACCACGTGACGCTGAAAATTCCATTCGGTTTGATTGTTATTGTTTGGAATAGAGTGATTATTATTATTATTACCATTGTATGCATAGACTAATTTTTGTTGAAATTTGAACTCTCTGTGGGTAAGTATGTTGTTGTTATTGTTTCTGTACATAAACTTAATAGTATGCTTTAGACTATAAGCAGGTGATAAAAAGCCAACGAGATAAACAATGATGCGCAAAGTTAAACTTTAAGCACCACTAACTACCATCAATCAGCAAATGACCTCGAACGCACCAATCACGTGAAGGAGGCATTTTTGTGTATGGAATACATATATTTATGTAAAAAATGCTTAAAAACTGTATAAAAGTGTTACAGAGGATACCTTTCTCTCACATGTGATAAAAATAGCTCTCAGTTGTAGGTTGGAGTATCAACAGAGTATAATTCCATTGTGGGTAAAATTTATTTTGATAAAGTCTCATAGTGTGTTATACAGTAATATTTACTGAGCAATAAACTGTGCTCGAAACGTCGTCATCAGTAAATATAACTTACTGTATAACACTGTGAGACTTTATCAAAATAAATTTTACCCACAATGGAATTATACTCTGCCACAGTGCACAAGTTCTATTCTTATATCAACAGAGTAATTTAACCACATTCTATGCATGTAATTATTTAGGTCTTCTAACCCTAACAATAACCCTAATCTTTCCTAAACCTAACCGTAACGTGAAAATATGCCTAAACTAACCCATCTAACTTGAACTACCTAATTTCACCCTAACTTGTCCTTGGCTTAAAGCGTAACTTAATCTTTCCCAAACCTAAGCTGAAACTTGCCAGATATCCCATTTAATAGCATAACACTTCGATGAGCATATTTTATTGATGATGACAACATTATTTGCCAGGTTTCACTAACTTGCTCAGTGAGCGTTTCAAGGTCATTGGTGCGGTCGCACTCCATTGGTAGTTAGTGGTGCTTAAAGTTTAACTTGGCCCAATGATGATACCATTTTATTCTGCACAAACCACTGTTTTTGTTCTTGCTTTATTCAAATTCATAAAGGCGGAAATAAATGGAATAGGAAGTTTCAGAAAACAAACATATTTTCTTTGTTAATTATAAAATGTTAGCGGATAATCTGTTATGTGTAATTCCCTATGAGAAGTCAAGTAGTTATTGGTAACCTTTCACCTTCATCATAATCGTGTAACGACAGAAGACAAGAGTCAGGCAACAGATCCTTTATTGAGGAAATCAACAGATATATATATATATATATATATATATATATATATATATTTACATATATATTATTCGTTATTGTTAGCAGAGAGTTAACGTCTTCTGATTGGTTGTTTTACTGCTGAAGGTTATTCTTTCATCACTTTGTGGCCGTTTCTTTGATGGTCAGACCATATACCTGCGAATCGTATCCGCCCACGCAAAGTCTGCTGTGATTGGTTGTTGAGTTAGTCTTTTCTTTTGTTTTTTTCTTATGACCAAGATATGCGACGTAAACATTGAGGTAAATTGCCGTCTACCAATTTTGGATAATAGACTGCTGTTATCGCAATCGTGGTGATGGTGTTGTACTTATCGTTGCATGAACATCCCTACTGTATTTAAGATTATTATTATTGTGGTTTTACTTTAGCAGATTGTTACGGGCACTGGTTAATTAATTTATATATTTATTTTCTTTAATTTCTCTTCTTTTTTTCCCTTTATTTTACCATACAGTATTCTTTCTACGTCGTTTTATGCGTGAGCGTACTACACGATACTTAGAACAGTCGACTAGTTTGTCGTGTGTATCTCGATTGAAAGATCAATTATCATTTGATATAACTACTTGTCGTTTCCTTGTGAAATTAGCACAGAATATGTTAAATCATCCTAATAATATGCACACGATGTTATCATCAACTACCTCAGCGTCATCATCATCATCGTCTTCTTCTTCTTCTCCTACTGCTGTATATCATGGATGTCTTTCTGATTTACCAGAGTATTTAGTTGACAATATAGTTGAACTTATCAGTTATTTAAGACGTGCAAAAGATGAATTTCTTGAAGTGAGTATAGTTTTGCGTTTTCATGGTTATTTTTGTTGTTATTGTTTTAAGTTATGCCATTATTATTACTATTACTATTATTATAAGTGTTCCCTTGGGTTCCGAGTGGAGCATAGGGCTTCGTTCTATTTTCTGTGGTCCCCATAAGCTGGGTCCATGATTGCCCATAGTTTCTCAGCTCCTTCCTAACACATGATTCTCTCCATCTCACCCACCGACTAGCGAACCACTCACCGTCGTCTCAAGCGATGACCTGCATTGCACTCTATGTCATTCGATGGTCTCTTTAATGGTGTGTGCCCGATCCATCTCCACTTTCTTCTGCATATTTATTGGTTGAGCAATAGGTTCTTCGTCGGTTTGTTCCTCTAGTTTCTTGTTACTAAATCTTTCAGGCCAGCCATCTGATCTTCAGTATAGAACGAAGGCAGCTGATGATGATAGTTTGCAGTGGCCTGTTGGAAATGCTTTTCGTGACTCACATGCAATGCAAGTTTCTGACCCATATAGAAGAACTGACTGATTTAACACTTGTGTTGAACAGAATCCGAATTTTTTTTGTTTATGCTGAGGCGGAGTGCAGATTTCTGATTAGTGAATGTGTATCTTGCCTTTCCGATTCTGGCTTTGACATCTTCATGCGTCCCGCCCGCCTGTAGTTGAATTGATGCTTCCTAGATAAGTGGACCGCTGTTGCAGCCCTATGTTCCACTCGGAACCTAAGGGACCTTTAATAATAATAATAAACTGATTAATACAACACAGTTTTATTGTTTCACTTTTGATCACGGAACAATATTAGTTAGAGAACCATTGAAAACCAGGGTGTACTGGACGGCTGTTTCGTCCCAGTTTGGGATTCATCAGATCCCTGCAAACAAACTCTTTTAAATTAATCTGATGCTCACTAGCTACTGGCTGCAGGACGAAGATGCCTGTAGTTTTAGTCACAAGTCGTAACCAGTGGAGTTCATCCGGTCGGGAGGGAGTGAGGACAATTATTCGCCGCCAATGACATTGGCTGATGACAGTTGCGCTAAAAGAAGTCACGAATTGATAGAAGTTAGAATTCATAAACTGGCTGACAACTGAGAAGTTGGATTCCAGTGGCTGTGAATGGTCTACGAGCTAGTTAGCTTGACTTGTAACCCGAAGGTGATGGATTCGAACTCTAGTAATGGGGTGGGTGTGTACTTCCTATGAGTCCGAAACACTAGGCTGACCAAACAGCACTAGTAGTCCAGTACTCGAGTGGTGGTTTTGCAGTGATTCTCTAACTGATATCAAACTTGAAACAGTTCAGATCCCTACAAACAAACCCTTTACAATTTTTATTGTATTCAGCTTTAGAAGTGAATCGACAAGGGTACTTTTATTATAAACCCTCACTGTAATGAAATGAAATAGTATTATAGGCAGGCGATTTGTTATTTTCTCTAAAATGCATATTAGTAAATTATTTCTAAAAAAAACCAATTGAGTGTTTTAAGTACAAACGATTTTTTTACACTTGTTGTACTGTTTACTTTGAGTTGTATGCATTCATATTGAGTCAGATGACTAATCAATATTCTCATTTTAGAGTTTTCTCATATACCCTAGTTATTATAGTGCTTCGCCCATTTTTCGTTTTGACTGGTTGTGTAGCCCCAGATACACATATACATATAGAGCGCACAACAAAATCTTCTTATCTGGTTACAGGATTTCATCATGGCCTGACATCGGTTAGAGAACCATTGGGAAACCAGCACTGGAGTACTAGACAGCTGTTTTGTCCTAGTTTTGGGACACTTCAGCAGTACGCACCCACCCAGGGCCTTCTGGTTACAAGGTGGACTAGATCGTAGGCTATTAAGCCAGTCCATGAATTCCAACTTCTGCCAATTCACACATGATATAGCACGACTGGCACTAGCCGATGTCATCGTTGGCGCGAGTAATCAATCAAATCCCTACTAACCAATAATACCTGAATTTTGTTATATGTTAGATTTATCGTGTCTGTGTGTGATTGATATATGAATCAACTTATTCTAAATGAATATGTGAGCAATCCTCCCCCCACACCACCACCACCACCACCAGGTTCATGATTTAAAGTAAGTAACATGTCGGCAAGTCATCAAAAAAGAGACACTGGATACGCTAAGTGTGAACTACGACTGAAATTACCCATCAAATACATTATAGAATAATTGTCCAAACACACTAGTTCTCCCTCATAATCCAATGTCTTTTGATGAATGACGTCATTTTGATGGACATAATTTTTTCCTCATGTATTTGTGATGATGAACAGGTCAACAAAGTGGATCAACCATTCGATTTTTTTTGAATGGTTTAGTGTGACAATGAATGCGATAAAATAGTTCTACGTATCATTTCATCTTAAAGTGGTGGTGGTGTTGTGGGTTTTACTCATCCTCTTGATCACATGCTTTGAATGACTGGATTGTTGACTGGCTGCATTCTTATTTCTCTAACAGAATTTAGTATACTGTATGTATAAAGGTGAATCTTCCTCTTTTTTGGTTACTGAAACCGGTGTCCCTCAAAGTGCTCTTCTCTCTCCTTTTTCCTTCTTCTTACATGACTTACCTCTTTCAGATGAAATCAGCTTTGTTAAATATGCTGATGACCTTGCTGTCTCGTTGTCAAATGCTTCCAGAGTTGACTGTTCCAAACTGACTGAATAGCTTTCTGTCCAACATTAGCTGGTTGTCTAAGCTTAATGGTCTTACGTTAAATCCCTCTAAATGTCAGACAGTTAATTTCGTCTTCAGGAATAAAGGTGATCTTAGCGAACTCATTAGTTCACACGATGTTTGCAGCTTAGGGGGCACTGATATAGAGAATAGGTCAAGCACATAAAATACCTTGGAAATAGTTCTATCCTCTGACCTTTCTTGGTCGGTCATCCCATATGTTGTCAATTTCTACGAAAATGTCCCGTCTAGCCTACTACATTAAGAAGTTAAGACAATCTGGGATCACTGAAACTGTACTTTTACAGTTTGTTAACTCTTGTACTTTACTGCTCCCCCCAAGATAGTCTTTCCTGGGTTACTCAGAAAGGACTATGTCATATTTTGAAGAATATTAAAGGTTGTCAGTAGGGCAGGCAAGTGGTCAGCTTGTTATGTTATTGCTGTAGTCAATAGACACCTGAATTCGTGTGAGAAATAGTCTAAATCCATATTGTCTGACTGTAAACACCTCACCCTCTCTATTCACAACTGTCTCCGCCTTGCATCTCTTCAGGTAGTAGGTGTAGAGGTCATTATAAAAGATTATATGCTCGCACAAGCAATTATAAAAATTCAACGATAGCCTGTTTGTCCCCGCGCTCTATGTGATAGAGATAATGTTAAGTGTGAAACTTACTACTTCCTGTGTAATTAGCATAAAAACGGCTCAATTATTCGCCCATACTTGTAATTTTATGGTGACACTATTCCCATTATCTTATAATTTTTTGTTATCAATACTGCTAATATTGTTATTCCTATCAGTTTTACATTTGTGTATTAATTTGACCCTACTGTTTCCGCTAATGCCTCAAAACATGAAAAGGCTAGCTGTCTTTGATCATAGGTGCCTGCGTTCTATCCCCCTTGTGAAATGGTATAATAGGGTGAGCAATATTGAGGTTAGGCATCGGTCGAGTAGCTAGGTAAGTTGGAGGGGAAATCAATAGACGAGGCTGTGAAGTTACATCGATTAAGATAGTTAGGACATGTGTTACACATGCCTAGCCATCGCCTTCCTCGACGGTCAATGTTAGTTGACATAGGGTCAGGTTGGAAAAGACTTGGCTAGTGGTGGTCATGTCTTCATCAGTCAATGAAATGCACAACAGTTAGTTTAAGCCACATAGGAAGGTGTAGACTTCCTGACTGGTTGGGGTCCTCGGGACGGTAAAAACCAATGGCTGGAGACAATCGGTGATATGGCTCAAAGTGATCGTTCTCAATGGCTCAGATGCATCCATTTCTTTTTGCCTCATATCTCTGTTTACTGTCTCTATTTTGCATTCCCTTTTACTTTCTTCTCTTGCTTTGTGTGCTACATGGAGTGTGGCAACTCGAACTGCTGCACATCTGTGTTGTGCAAATTTCTATGTTGAAACCAGTCAGTCAGCTAATGCCTCAAGTTGCTGTTATCTATTTTGGTTAGGTGTACCCTGTAAAGTATTTTTTCTGTTGTTGTTCAGTGAACTACATGAAATATTGTGCCAAATGCTGAAAATTCCACACTGTATTATGGGTACTGTTTTAGAATAAGGCAAATCCTTATTATTATTATTTTCTTAATTTCTATATTATATCAAAAAGTGAAGACGACGACCAAATATTACTACATAAGTGTAGGACAGTCTCAATTCCAAATTTAATTTAGTTGCCGTCACGAACCGACATCAGTTAGAGGATCACTGAAGAGAACCACAGAACATTGAACAGCTGTATCGTCCTAGCTGGGGACTCCTCATCAGTGCGCACCAACAACCTCATCAAGGACCATTTAGCCACTGGGTCTGGATGTTCGACACTTGATGCGACCGTAGGTGGTGGGTACTGCTGAAGAGTCCCGAACTAAGACGAAACAGCTGTCCGTCCAATACTCCCTGATTTTCAATGATTCTTTAACTGATGATATTGTTTAGTAAGGAAATCTACACATTGGAATGAATTAATTAAATATGTGTATACGCTTTTTTTCCCCTCCATTTTCTTTCTAACTATAGTCTATTGAAGTAGCATCAATCCCGTTGGAACCACTTTTAGAATTCAGTGTACTATTTATGAATTACACAGGATTATTAACTAATCCACACTTAAGAGCACGATTGGCTGAAGTTCTTGAATCTTTAATACCACAACGTGATGATGAAGCGTGGAATACAAATTCTAGTTCAGGATTATTAGGATCATTCAGTTTATCCTTGTAAGTGGTGTTTATTTTGAATATTCTTCTTAATGGTGTTTCCATTTATTTTTCTTTTTTTTTGATTAATTACTGAAATCATTAGAGTGATTTGGTTAACTTGCATTTCCGATACGCTTGGTGGGTCGGTCGGTCGGTTTTCGACATAGAACTTTGCACATAAGTGCGGCAGTTCAAGTCGCCACAATCCATGTAGCACACAAAGCAAGAGAAGAAAGTAGAAGAAATGCGTAATATAGACAGTAAACAGAGGAGTGAAACAAAGGAATAGTAATAACGAAGACCAAAACAGTTTCATTGGAAATCCTAAGTCACAAGGAGTGGATGCATCTGCGCCAACCATTGTGAACGATTTTGAGCCATGTCACCAATTGTTTCCAACCATTGGTTTTTACCGTCCCGAGGACTCCAACCAGTCAGGAAGTCGACACCTTCCTACGTGGCTTAGACTAACTGTTGTGGATTTCATTGACTGGTGCCATGTTTTGGTTTGACCGCCGCTAGCTCTTTTCCAGCCTGACCCTATATCAGCTAACATTGCCCGTCGAGGAAGGCGATGACTAGGCACACGTAACACATGTCCCAACCATCTCAGTCGATGTAATTTCACAGTCTCATCGATTGATTTCCCCGCTTTACCTAGCACTCGACGCCTAACCTCAATATTGCTCACCTTATTATACCACTTCACGCGGGAGATAGAGCGCAGACACCTATGATCGAAGACAGCTAATCTTCTCATGTCTTCTGCTCTCAATGGCCAGGTTTCACACCCATAAAGGAGGACGGAGCGGACTGTTGAGCAGTATACACGCCCTTTGGTCGATCGTCGGATATAGCGTCTACGCCAGAGACGGCGAAAACTGGCGTATGCGAACCTAGCCCTCTGTATTCGTGCTGAAATTTCGTCTGAGATCAACCCGTTGGGGCTGATGGTACTTCCCAAGTAAGTGAAGCGGTCAACGTGTTCTACCACTTCACTTCCTATTTCTAATCTAGGGGTCGATGAAGTCCAATCCTGCAGCATCATCTTACATTTTACCGGGGCGAATCGCATGCCAAACATACGAAGATTGTTGCTCAGGGTGTTCAGTAGATTCTGCATTTTGTCAGAGTCCTCGCCTAGAAGGACTATATCGTCCGCATATTCTAAGTTGACGAGATTCTTCCCTGGTAGCAAGTCAATCCCGGAGTCGCTGAAGTGTGTTAGGGTTAAGTCCATTAGTACGTCTATGATGAAGTTGAATAGGAATGGGGATAATGGGCATCCTTGACGAACGCCACTAGTCGTCACCACTTCAGATGACAACTCGCCATAAGCCCTCACCTGGCTGCATGAGTACGAGTAGAGTGCCTTAATCAGTGCAATGTATTTTCTTGGCATTCCCTTTACAGCCAAGCATTGCCAGAGAACCTCCCGGTCGACAGAATCGAATTCCGCCTTTAGGTCAAGAAATATAATGATTGTCGGACGCCGGTAGGAATGCCTATGTTCTAGAATCTGTCGAAGAGTGAAGATATGATCAATACATCCTCTACCTGGCCTAAAACCTGCCTGGTTTTCTCGTGTTTGTGTCTCCCGAGCAGCGCTTAGTCTACGCAGTATTATTGAGCCTAGGATTTTAGATACTATATTAGTCAAGCTAATCCCTCTGTGATTATCACAAGAAGACTTGTCTCCCTTCTTGTATATCGGGATGATCAGTGACTTACACCAACCCGATGGGACTTCCTCTGATTCCCAGACGCTGTCTAGGACCTCAGTTAACGCAGACAGTAAACTGTCTCCACCGTACTTAAATACCTCTGGAGTCAATAAGTCAGGTCCCGCTGCTTTGCCTTGCTTCAGATTGGTGACAGCTTTAGTAACCTCAGTTAAGGACGGAGGACCTGTGTCTATCTCCCATTCAGGGAGGTGTTGGATGTCCGGTAGGTTAAGTGTGGCTGTGGGCCAATTAAACTGCTCCTCATAGTGTTCTTTCCAGCGCTCCAGACGTCTATCCTGGGAGCTAATTATGGTGCCATTTTTCTCGGAGATTGTTTCGCTTATCATTTGCCTTTTACCACCTGTTTCCCTGATAAGCCTGAATAGTTGTCTGGTGTTGCCTATCGCCGATGCTTTTTCCATCTCCATCTCGATACGCTTGGGTCTCTGTTGATTTGAGTAAAGTTCCAAATGGGATGAAATAGGCATCTCATGAATTCCCAATGCTGATGTATTAGATGCAAATATGTAGATGTACAGAAAGGTAGCCCAGCTGTCAAACAGGCCGCCAGAAAGATCTTTTCTTATTTTTATTTTTTTTCGGCAAAATTAACTGACAATCATTGGTTGTGAACGCCATTATCACCACCTTAAAATTTTGTATTATGCAGGATTACTCACACTACCACTACAAACACTGCATTAGACCTGACAATAAAAAACAAAACAACAACCCTGAAATGTTATTTTATGAGTGTTTAGAGTTGTTTCAACCAAATTAACTGGTCATCTTGGCGATAAACATTCTTCAATATCATTTCATAACTACTTGTATGAATATAGCTTTACTGTCACCATGTATAATCATATCATAGCTTCCACTACCCAATACTGAGTTACTATTATATGCTGTTTATTTTCCTTTCTACTTCTTGATACTTTTTCGCATTTTTTAAAAATTATTTTGTGTTTTTTCTGTCTTTTTCTTTGCTGTTGGTGGCTTTATATTTATTTATTTTTTTTGAAAATACTCCTTTTAGGTGTTTGATAAAATTAGATGCAAATATTGTAGATATATGCTGAAAATTCCACACTGTACCATTAGTACTGTTTCTGGAATAAAGCAAACTATTATTATTATTATGTAGTGAACACTGTCAACCAAAATAACATCATTAAAATGAACTTACTTATTTTAATTCAATTTCGATTTTTCCCATCGGTTGATTGAATCGAAGTGCTCGGTCTCAGGTTGACATGTCGGCTTCTTGTGCAGTTTTGCTTTGACGATTTCTGGGCATGTAACTTGAAGTCAGTTGCTAAATGGTGACTAGCAGTGGAATCCAGGATAACGCGCATTTCGTCCTATTTGGAAGTGGCTCGTCATCTGGATGTACCTGCATTCCCCAGTGAGTGGTAATGGTCTAGGGGAGAACACTGGGGGGGGGGGGATATAGGTACATCTGGTTGACTGCTGGTGACCATCCACCAATTGTCTTCAAGTTACATGAGCAGACATCGTCAAAGCACAACAGCACAAGAAGCCGACATGTCAACCTGAGACCAAGCAATTCGGTTCAGTCAGTAGACGGGAATTAAAATTGAATTAAATAATTAATAAGACCCGTGACTCTCGTGGTCCGAGTGGTCTAGTGCATAATGCTTTGGTGTTTTAAACTGTGAGCACGGGGTTCGAGTCTCGGTTGGAACGCCATCACTCACTGGGAAATGCAGGTACGTACATCCAACTGACGAATCCCAAGTAGGAGGGTGAAATGCGCGTTATCCTGGTGGATTCCACTGCTAGTCACCATCCACCAGTTGAACTTACTTGTTGTTTATGCTTGAGAATAGCTTTCCAGTCATGATTTAATGACAAAATTTTTCTTCATAATTCATGATGTGATGTATATGATTCGAGTCTTTAATTAGTGCTGATATGTTGTTACTTTTGGCTAGTAGTTTGTTGCATACATACATGGCCCCCCATTGAAAGTGGAAGACATAAAAAGCGTCTGGCTAGCTAGCTGTTTGTCTTTGATCACAGGTGTCTGGGTGTGTCGTATCTCCCGTGTGCAGTAGGTGGTGGTATAATAGACTTAGTAATATTGAGGAGGTTAGGCTTCGATCGAGTGCTAGGTGAACTGAAGGGGAAATCAATCGACCAGGTTGTGAAGTAGATGCGTCGTTTGCTGCGCATGCCTAACATAGCTATCGATCGCCTTCCTCGGCAACGGTCAATGTTAACTGACACAGGTGGTCATATCAAAACATGGCTTCATCAATCAGTCAGTGAAATGCATAAGAGTTAGTTTAAGCTAGCCAGACAGGTAGGGAGGGAGGTGTAGACTGTCTGTGTAGTTGAGGTCCTCGGAATGGTAAGAACCAATGACGGTGGCTGGAGACAATTGGTGATATGGCTGAAAATCCTCGTTATCAATGACGGCGAAGATGCATTCACTCTCCTTTGTGGTTTGTCAGTCATATCCAATAAAAACTTTATTTTTTTCCCTCACACTTCTGTTTATTATCTGTCTTTGGAATCTCTTTTTACTGTTTTCTATTGCATTGTGTGTAAATTAAGTATGTCTCCCTGTAATAAGATCCCAGTGATGACAAGGAGTTTTATCCCTTTCACTCATCTGTGTATTTTGTAGATCCTCGTTTCGCTAATCAAGTTATGGTGGGTGGGTATTAAAGTAGTTGACTTTCTATCTGTTATTCTCTTGACGAATCCTTTTCTTAAAGTTGTGCCGTATAATCCAATCACCCTGAATATTATTTGCTCGTTCACGTTCGACCAAGGTTATATTTCCTCTTTATTAGGACTTTCATTTATCTGTAAAATGACACCTCCTTGCAGTAAAGAAGCAACTCTGTCCATCTTGCAATATGCAGTATCTCTGCAGTGCTGGTACTACTGAACTATTGAGACGTGGTTATTTTCTATTTCTGCAGTCGCAGCTCTCATAGGCTGTTTTAAAACCCAGTAATTACAAATGTATATACAAAATCTGGGTTAATAACAGATGGGACCTAGCAAAAGATGCTCCTACGAAATGGCATAGTCGTCAGCTTACCTTTCCCCACATTAACTCGTCTCAAACAAATTCCACAACTGACGCACATATACATCAACCGATCTGTTGAAAATTTTTGTACTCCTGACACCTCCAAATGTGAAGCAACTCTTTTTTTTCAAATCAACCTCACATCTAAGCGATACTAAGAAACTTGGTCTAGACCCCAAATTTCAGACGAAAGCGTGTTAGAGCAGGTATTTCACTTGAATCAAGCGGGATAGAAGCGCGAACTCATGTGAAGAAACTCACTGATCGATCCACTGAAGGTCATTGCTGCGGCCGCACTCCGTTCGTAGTGCTTACTTAGTGCTTAAAGGTTGAACTTGGCCCACAGTCATCGCCATTCAAATAAAGTCTCATTTCTCAGTCTTTTCTCTTCCCCAGTGAATTATATTTCCTTTTTGAATTGCTTTTTTCTCTCTCTTTTTTTTTACAGCCACAGACGTGAACAACTCATGAATCGTGATCCAGAGGTGATTGATGATCCCATTCTAGGCAATACTGTTCGAGCATTGTTAACAGCCTTTGTATCTATTGAATTATCACCTGGCACTGGAGTAGTCGGCAGTGCTGGTAGTGCAGCTGATACAGTTATCGCTGCATCATCGGCATCACAGAGTTCCACGTCGCATCGTAATAATTCTCAGTCGACTAGTAGTAGTAGTAGCAATGAACATCAAAATACCGACAGTGATGATAACGATAATGTTGGGGCTAGTGGTGGTGGCGGTAGTGGTAGTGCAGCACAAGTAACAGACGCTCAAACTGCTGCATCAGTTGGATTTGAAGAAAAATTCCACTACAGACGTCCTATGTACGCATGTTTAAGATATTGGCATGGTAAACCGTTGTATGATGTACAATTCAAGGTGAGGAATTGGGCTTTTTTAATTTGTTATGATGATGTGTTAGCCCGTTATCGTTTTAATACTTTAGGTTCTTTAAGGGATTTCAGTCAATAATTTCTATTTGGATCTTGTTGTTACAAACTGATATCACAGCTGGGGAATCATTAGAAACCAGAGAACACACTGAACTGGACGGCTGTTTTGTCCTAGCCTGAGATTCCTCAGCGGTGCACATCCAGGACCTACAGGTTACGGAGTAGTAAGCCACTTGACTATCGAACAGCCTCACTGGGTCGGAATTCAATCCTCCACCCCCGAATTTACGCACGAAGTTTAGTCCGACAGGGGGAGGGGGGGACTCTGAACTTTCTGGAGTATCATGTCTAAAGACAAACTGACACATTCAAACAAATATTTGAATTTCCTACCCCATCATCCGATAAGAACGATGAAAGGTCTCAGTAGCTTTAGATCTTGTAAATACAGCTAGGAATATGACAACAGATACCGTTGAAATGGAGAATGAGATCGCCAGTACAGTATAAATTTTGATTGGAAATGGTTATCTGTAGAAATATTTATAAATACCATCGATTATCAACAGAAAAGGCAAGAAAGTAAGGAAGAAGATAGAAAAATATCGGGTTTCGACGATAGCTATTCCATATCGAAATGATACGGCTGAATGACTTTAAAGAGTATTTACTTTATGTGGTGTTAGCTTATTTCAAGTCATCTAATTCGTTAGAGAAAGCTTTGGTGATTATTAAAGAGTGTATTTCCACTGAATGACACAAAACAACTGTGTCTATAGGATAAAATGTTCAGATTGTGAGACTTGCTTTATATATAGAGGAAAGCGGTAGGCAGTTAAGGTCAGAGTAGATGAACATAGGCTTTGCACGAAACAACCGCCTGGAAATGAAATAGAATTAAAGTCTTGAAAAAAGACCAGCTATAGCAGTGCATGCTACAGACAGCGGACATAAGGTCCTGTGTTTTGACATCTGTAATGTATTATCATGATTTTCACATATGAATGAATTGATGTATTTTCCATTTAACAGACAAAATACACACACTCTCATACAGACAAATATGCATATTAATGGCAATCCGGCATTAGTCGTTACAAATATGTGATGACTGTTTATACATTTTTCTATTAGTACAAATATCTAACGACAAGTGAGCTTTAAAGGAGTTCATTCACATCAATTTATGTAATCTTTGACTACACATACATTTTGATGGTTAATCAAATACGCATAATTCTTCTGAATAATTTTTGGCTTGCACAGTGAAACGTTCAGAATCAATCTTGTTTCGTTTTTTTCTAAAACATACTGGGATTAATTTTATAATGGCTGCAGGATTTCATCATGAGTTGACAACGGTTAGAAAACCATTAGGAAACCAACACTCGAGTGTTAAACAGCCAGCTGTTTCGTGGGTCTATTTTTGGACTCTTCAGGAGTATGCACCAACCGGGGTTCGAACTCAGGACCTTCTGGTTACAAGGTGATCTAGCTCGTAGACCACTAAGCCACTGGGACTCTCGACCCAATGACCAGCTCCAACTTCTGCCAGTTCACAGCATAGCGTGACTGTCACTAGCCAATGTCATCGCTGGCTAGAATTTGTTCTCACGCTCGACCTGCTGTACCCTACTGGTCACGACTTCCCACTAGAAACATAGGTAACTAATAGGGCCAGTTTCTAATGAGCGTCCTCTGGATTCTTATCCCAGTGGGGGCGTACTGATAAGGAGTCCTAGACTAGGCTGACGAAGCATCTGTCCAATACTCGCGTAATGGTTTTCCAATGGTTCTCTAACCCATGTCTGCTCATGATGAAATCCTGTAACCGATCAGTCAAATCCCTAAAAACTAATACTTCAATTTTATCATGGTTTTAACTGGATGGTTTCGAAGCACTCGGCAACCTCTGTTGTCTATCGCAATATTTGAAGATGCCTTATTAAGAATAACATGACGATCAAATAGTGTATCAGTCGTGCGTCGGTGGCACAGTGGTTAGGACTCTCGCCGACCATGCACATGCTCCGGGGTTCGATCCCCTGCCGGCGCACACCCGATATCTATGGTCGGCCTGAATTTGGGCTACCGATATCCATGCTGAAAATTCCATACTTGTACTGAAAATACGGTGTGGAATCAAGCTGTAAATCAAAAATCAAAAATAAAAAAAATATTTAATTCTGTACTTTGTCGTAATGTGATGAAATGATACAGCGTATTTTCCTTTTTAAATGGTATTTCTATTTACACAAGTTATAATTTTAAAAAAAGGAATTTTAAGTGTTAGAATTTAGGACTTGTGAACATTAACCTTCTCCTTGTCACATATTTAAGACATCCGAATAAAATGACAACATGAGGAGTGATAAATAAGTGGAAATGATGCAATCTCAGTTGTAAATGAGTCCGAATAGCTCAGTAGTAACGTCTCTGAGTGTAACTCCAACACTGAGTGACACGGGTTCGAATTTCAGACGACTGCAGATACACCTTGCTGACTAGTGAGTGTCAACAAGCATGAAACCTATTTACGTAGGGCTGGGCTTCCTTCCAATTGCCTCCAACCATCTAATAACAAAGGTTTCTTGGAGGTACGTCGGTGGTCTAGAGGTAAATTGTTCGCCAACCACGCGTCACGTTATCTGGAGTTCTATTCCCGGCCTGCGCACACCACTGCCTACTCAATCCGGTTATAAGCCCGACATAGAAGGATGTTTTGGCACGAGGTTAGCGATCTCATCCCGTAAGAAATAAACACCACTGTTCTTGAAACTTCAAAGCCAAATCTTGAGGACCTATGCTCCACTCTGAACGCAAAGGAATAAAATAAAATTAATAACTGTTGTAAAACACTGTAGAACAGAAGAAAGAAATAGCAAATGAAATGGCAAAGAATACGGTACTGCAATTTCGAGGTGAACTCGTCTCCATCTGGATCATTGGATGACCTAGAGACCCTTAAGCTTCATCAGTTTTGTTTGTCTTCTAGTCTCATGCTCTAAGGAGCCTACACTCATCTAAAATAGACCACGCCGACTATAGATGAATGTTTCCATGAATTTGTATTAGCATACTTGTGTAACCTTGTTATCCTTTGACTCACATTTGACTTTTTGAGGTAGTTGGTTAAGAAGATGGTCGCCTCGATCAACGTTAAGGTCAAGTCACTTCAATCACTAAATTTGTACCACCTCATTAGGTAGTGGCTAACTTTTATCCTAGTGCCTTCATCATGATGCCAATTCCGATTCCATACTTAGTGGTTCGGTATTTCAGTAGTTCTTGCCAACCACGCACATATTGTCCGGTATTCGACTCTCCCTGCTGACGCACTCGTAGACTTCGCTTAGTCGCTAGTGTTGAACCCGGTAAAGAAGGGGTAGCGACGTAAGGATAGCTACCTTAAACCGTAAAAAAGCAATTCTGTTACTGGAACTTCAAAAAAAGCTCAAGGTTGACACCATATCTTCCACTTGGGACGCCAATGAATTAAAGTATTTAAACGTTTTCCTTGTGAAATACTATACTGCAACACGGTTCATTTGAAAATAAAGTTGCTGCTCAAATTAGAATGAACCGTAAGTAACTGTGAAGGGTGTATCATTAGTCAAACCATGGACTTAGTTAGTACATATGATTTATCGTATATAGACATTATTACGTTGTTTAAAAAAATATTTTCATTCTTAATTGAGTGAGTACACAAAGATTATTTTCATATCTCATGTTCCTTTTTTTAAATACCAATATATATTCAGCGATTAGAAAGTGAAGCGCTAGCGCATATCGATGATGCCAATCCTCCCTTGTTTCTCCAGTTTCTTTCCCTTTTGGTAAACGATGCTATTTTCTTATTGGATGAAGCTCTAAGCCTGTTAGCTCAACTTAAACAAACTGAACGTGAAAGAGATAAATGCGGTGGAAGGTGAGTTGTGTATATATATTAAGTTTAGTTTATGGTTGTATTTGTGGTATCTGTGAGATATTGTCTTGTTTAACCGTGATGATGATGACATAGTGTATGGAAGCTGTTTTTCTTATAGCCGAAAAAGCAAAATTCATATTATTGTTTTGCTTACAAGATTTCATCATGAGCTGACATTGGTTAGATAACCATTGGAAAACCTGGGAGTACTGCCAGAGGGCTGTTTCGTCCTAGTTCGGGACTCTCTATCAGTACGCACCCACTGGGGTTCGAATCCAGGACCTTCTGTTTACAGGGAGAGATCGTAGACCATTAAGCCACTGGGACACGATCCAGTGGCGCATGAAGAATCCCAAACTAGGACGAAACAACTGTCCAGTACTCCAGTGCAGGTTTTCCAATGGTTCTCTAACCAATGTCAGCTAATGATGAAATCTTGTAACCAATCAATCAAAATCCCTGCAAACCAATCCTTGCATATCATAATATTATTATTTTTCACCATTAATGAGTTCTGGGAATTCCATTTGCTTCTCTGAAGCTCTTACTTGCCGAGATCGATGAGTCCTCCTTCCTATGTATGTGTGTCCACACGTACATTTAAATTGGTAGATACAGTGGATGTGACATCATTTTTCGTTTGATGTAACGGCTTAGATGGGATATATGCGTTTCACATGCTCAATTATTCTGATCTTAGCTGCATAAAAAGTCTTTTTAACTGCAGGGTTCAACTGTTGTAGAGTTGGAGAGTGGGTCTTGGTGTTCCATTGTTCACTTTATATCTCCTTATCAACTAGCGTTTGTGTCAGTTTTCTTTCCTCATCATCATCAAGTGTGTCTTCGGTGCATATTCGTTGGATTCTACTGAAAAGAAACACCTCACTAAGTCATTTTTGTAATGAATAGGGCAGAAAAGGTGATAATTTGAGATACTGTCCTGTCCCGGTAGGTTTTCTATAAACAGATAGTTTTTTTTTATCCATCAAGCCGTCTACTAAGCAATATATCTAGGAAAGATACGTAAGTGATGTGCTGTTCTGAACTTTATTCATTTGATTTAAAATTGAGGTCGCAGAACAACGTGAACACACACAAACATACAAAGGGAGGACTCATCAATCTCTGTAAATAAGGATATATTCAAAGTATATTCTCAAAATGGCTTCAAAAGTAAGTGGAACCCCCCAAAACCCATTAATGCACAGTCTCAGTGTACTGACATTCAAGTATTCGTTTGTAGTGATTTGATTGATTCCTTACAGAATTTCATCGTGAGCTGATATTGGTTAGAGAACCATTAGGAAACCAGCACTCGATTATTGAACAGCCAACTGTTTCGCCAGCCTAGCTTGGGACTCTTCAGCGGTACGCACCCACTCTACAAACCAACATTTGAATACCAATGAGATGCTCACTAGCGATTGGCCCTATTCAGGTAGGCAGTTACCTGGGGTTCTGGTGGGAAGTCATGAGCAGTGGGGTACACCAGGTCGGGTGTGAGGACGAATACTAGCCAGTGGTGATATTGGTTATTGGTTGCGCTAAGTCGTGAATTTACACAAAATGGAATTCATGGGCCATTGGATCGAGGGTTCCAGTGGCTTAATGGTCTCCGTGCTCGCCTTGTAACCAGAAGGTCTTTGGTTCGAACTGTGGCGGTGTGTGCGTACTAATGAAGAGTCCCAAACTAGGATGAGGGGAAGAGCTGTCCAGTACTCGAGTGCTTGTTTTCCAATGGTTCTGTAACTGAGGTCAGCTCATGATAAAATCCTGCAATCAGTGTATTGAATTTTGAGTTAGATCCTCAGCCAATTCAAATTGTTCAATAAATAGGAAATCAATAGCTGATTTCACCATTGAAAAAGACTAACTGTGTAAATATCTGACGTAGTTATAATCTGTGCAGCCTATGCTTTCACTCACCATCATTTTTCCATTTATAATAATTTCTATGTTAGTTTTTAGGCTGTTAACAGCTGAAGAAAAGCCGTGAGATGAAAACAGCTCTTCCGCGCTGCAAATATGTTCGTTTTTGCTTTGTTCTCAATGTATAATCTTTTTCAGCTAGTAATATAATGTACACATTTGTTTACAATAAATTCACACACACACGTGGTTATTGTCATCTTTTGTTATTTCTCATTACTGTTCTCCCTTCCCCACCCTTTTTTCTTCTTTCCTATCTTAATTTCTAGACTATCATCGTCTTCAGAAGAGGCATTATTTGCGCATACAGGTCGATTAGCCCGACATCATATTATGCTTGGATTGGATACAATAGCTGCACTACGTCGAGTAGTAACTCTGTGTTCACAGTTGATTACACATCCTGTATTGGTTGATCGAGTTGCTTGTATGCTAAATTATTTCCTAACACGACTTGTAAGTTGTTAGTGTGTGTGTGTGTGCTTATGACGTTCTGCAAAATTAATTTCTATACTAATTATTATTATTATTATTATCACCCTACTGATAACCATTATGGTATCTACATTGCAAACCTGACTGATAGAATTCAATCTGCACTAAAGAAAGGACTAGAGAAACATCGCACTAGTTATTAGTGTCCAGTCAAAGTACCCAACACAGGAGTCAGACATGGGTGCTTATTATCACCAATGATATTCCTAATTGTGGTGGACTGGATTATGCGTCAGACAGTGGGAAATGAGAAGACAGGGATATCCTGGACCGACGTGAAGAACCTAGAAGACCTGGATTTCGCGGATGATTTATGTTTGATGTCACAAAAAATCGAAGGCTAAGTGGAGCAACCCAAAAAGTCGCTCCTCTGTAAACTATATATTAATGTAACAACCCCCTTCTTAGGCGTGATGCTAGCAACCCCACCCTGTAAACAAGGCTGCTACAGAAACTTCAACACGATGAGTCACCTTGCGCGAAAAGAAACAGTCTCTTTGCAGAGATGGAACGTCCGCACCATGTATGAGACTGGCAACAGAGATCTCTGGGAAGGAACCAACCCAGCAGGAACCTATCGTGCAACAAATATGCAGGAAGAAATGGAGGTGGATTGGCCGTACTCTGAGAAAACCATCAAGTGACATCACACGATAGGCTCTCGAGTGGAATCCAAACGGGAAGCGGCGATTTGGTCGTTCAAGGGTGACATGGAGAAGGTCATGTGAAGGGGAGATGAAAACATGTGGACAGACGTGGAGCCAGGTGAAAACGTTGGCAGAGAACCGAACGCAATGGAGACGTGCGGCCGAAGCCCTATGTTCCTCTAGGAATTAAAGGAAATAATAATAATAATAATAATGACAACCATTGTCATAGTGATTGGTTGTTAATTTACGTCTCTACTGGTCACTTTTATTGACTTGGAATTGAAACTTTCTTGTCAGAAGGAAACCATTATCAAAGACTACAATAAAATTTACTCTGCCATACACATAAAATCTCTCTCTCAGATAATGGCTAGAATATCAAGATCATTTGAAATAGATATAGCACACAAGCTAGCCAACCAACACAATCACTTCATTCAGTATTGTGCAAACTGCAAGATGCCTGGCGCTCTTCACCGGGTTGACTGTCCATTGGATGACAGTCTAGGGGAGATGGCTAAACCCTGATTCCAAACCTCCAACGACTGGTGTATGAAGCTCACTGGAGCTCACCGGCAGACGTATGGACAAAGGGCTTGTTGGATGTCCTGGATGTCTGGCCCCATTCAAAGAGGTGTATGAACCGAACTCCGGTCACCGGCTGCCAATGGATAGTGGACTCCCTACTCCACTTCTACTGCCTTATAGGTCACACTTGGTTGTGTAAAGGCTAGAGCTGCACTCTCAAACAAAAGGCCGAGTGGTTCTGGGGACATCACTCGTACCAAATTCCCATGAAACTTCGTAAACTCTCTTCATCAGATCGCTGCGCCTGGGTAGCGATGATTTGAGAAGTTCATGAAGCCGGCTCATCCTTCCGTAGGAGATAGCCGAAGCAAAGTAAGTAAGTAAAACTGCAAGATCCAACAGAAAAAGAAGATAAGAATAACACCATTTACAAAGTAAACTGCATAAACTGAGATAAACACTACATCGGTCGAAGTGGGTGTCTCCTTCGAATGTGAATCAAAGAACATAAATTAGCGGTGTAAAAGGCACGATATGTATTCCTGTTTCATATCGATGCATGTGGAGAATAACGGACACTAATTTGATTGGGATAGTGTAGGAATCTTTAAATAGACGAAACCCCAGACAGTAGTGCCAGGGAATTTCTATCAGCCTAGTACTCAAATGAATCAGGGGGTTCGAATCTCAGAAGAAACATGAGTTCCTTCAAGGCTGCAGATACGCCTTGCTGACCAACTGTTGAGTGCCAACTAGCACGAAACTTAGGTCAAATGAGGCTTCCTTCCGATTGCCTCCAACCATCTAATATCAACAATACAAAATGCACCGTGACGGCGAGCTAGCCACCTAGCCTGGCATGGTGGCCACATTGCAAACTTGACTGACAATATAATTCAGTCTGCACCAAAGAAAGGAGTTGACATATCACACTAGTTTCTAGTGTCCAATCAGGGGATTAACAAACACAACAATAAAAATGATCAATGGAGATGTAAATTAACAAAGAACAAATTGCCATAATGGTTGTTAGTCAGGAGATACACAATTATGTCATCATTCATAGGGAATTCATATCAGTTAATTTCATACTAAAACTTGCACTGAAACTATGTTGCCTAGAAGGGTGACTACGAAGCCTCCTCAAATAAAATCAACCTGCTCAAACGGAAAACACAACTAAATCAAAAGCAGTTTGATCTGATAGAATCTAGAAGTACAAAACAAGGTCGGATCAAATAGAGGAAGGTCAAGCAGTCACTATTCTATGTGATGTAAGGTGAACTTCACTTAAAATAAACAAACCATCACATAAAAAGCAAATTAAATTGTTAAAATTAGGAATCAGCCCCATAAAATAAAGACAAATAATTAGGATTTTTATTCAAAAGAAGATATATGCAAAATGTTAGGACGTTGTGATACCTATTATGTCAGGCGGAAAAAGAAATATTAATTAATAAATAGCCAGTTAGAATATTCCAATGAGTAAAGCAACACAGACTTTTCTGATCAATCTAACGCTTTTATTCAGTGGTATATGCGCTTGCTTTGAACTTTTGAAAGCGATATTTTGCTGTAGTATATATACCAGCTGACTACAGATAGACACACATTATAACTGAAGTTAATATAAAATCAATTTTCATATAAAAATGAAGTTAATATTCTTATTGACAGTTATTAATCTGATGGTCACTAGTGACTGCCCACCCCCCCATATACAGGAAGTTACCTAGGGTTCTAGTGAGAAGTCGTAACCAACTTGGGGGGGGGGGGCGTCCAGCAAGTCAGGTAAGAGGATAGTGACTCGCCCGTCACATTCACTGGCGGTCGCGATAAATATATGTATCACGAATTAGCAGAAGTTGGGATGGTGCACAGGCTTGCCTCATAACCGTAAGGTCCTGGGTGCGAACCCTAGCAGTGGGGTAAGTTGTTGTGTACTTCTGAGTAGTCTCACAGTTGGCTGGCTGGTTCTCTAACTGATGATGTCAGTTCATGATCCATGCTAATTATATACCACTTTCCTATATTGTTATATTATTCTTATTTCATATTTTGTTATTGTTCTCTCATTATCCTCATAGGTTGGACCAAAACAACGTGATCTAACTGTACGCGATAAAGCTGCCTATGGTTTTAAACCTGATATAATGGTGTTAGAGATTTGTGGAATTTATCAGACACTAGCAAGAGGATCTGATTCTTCAGTGAAAACAGAAACAAAAATTGGTAAACAATTTTTTTGACTTTACGTCATTATTTTTTTAAAATTTCTTCACGTTCCCAGTGGAACATAGGGCTTTAAGCTACAGGCTTGAAGTTGCGGTAGTAGTGGTGTTTATTTTTACGGCCCAACCTTCCCTCATTACCAGTTTCATTACTGGCATAGCGAGGTAAAGGAGTGCGTCCGGTTGCCGGGGATCGAACCTCGGACCACATGGGGCGTAGTTGGCGAGCATTTCACCGCCGTATCACCGACGCACAATAGCTCTCCCGCGCCGGGAGTCGAACCCTGGGTGAAAGTCAGGATTCCTAACCGCTAGACCACGCGGCACTTACGTCATTTTAATGCATATATACGCTATTTTCGTGTATATACTTGTTAAGTTTGTTCTGTGAAGAAATCACTGAGACACAATGTTGTAACCAAGTTTGGATAACGTTTTTTGTTATGCCGAAGGGGAGTTACACAGCGGACTAGAAACTTTTGTTTGCCACACGTACTGTAGTAAGACTGATGATAGTTGAATTAAGTATATTGGAGTGGAGGTTGATATCTTAAACCCTGTTTTGTCTGATTGACAGTCGAGTACACTTAAGGCGGCCTGTAAGTCACATTATTACAATGAAATTCAAATAACACTGGGAAACAAAAGCAATGTCACAGAACCAATAGATTTTAACTTTGATTAGACACTAGTTAATAATCAAATAGTGTCACATGCGTTCTAGTCCTTTGTTTGGTGTAGACTGAATTCTGTCAGTAGTCGAGTTTGTAATAGGGTGAGGGGCGGGACTGACTATCACCGTGCACTCTGAACTGTTCTTATTAGATGATTGGAGGTCATTAGTGTGTGTTCATTCACTTGAACCCTCATAGTTTAACTTACCCATATACCTATAAGATCTGGATTTCGCCCGTGGATGATTTATGTCTAATGTCACACAAACTCGAAGACTTCCAGGTGAAAGCTAACAAGCTAGCAGAAGAAATGCAGTGCAGCGAAGACAGGACATCTGGTGAACATAGAGAAGACGGACGCCAATCACTATCAGCGGGAGAAATTTGGAATATGTCAATTTCTTCTCTTATCTGGCTAGACAGCTTCGTTTCAACTACAAAAGGAGGCACGAATGAGGATGAGTCAGTCAGATAGTCATTTCTTCCATATGAGTCAGAAACTTGCACTGCATGTGAGTCAAGAAAAGCATTTCCAACAGGTCACTCTGCAGACTTTTATCAACAACCGTATTCGATGACTCCATATTGGAGATCAAGTGGCTGGCCGGCGAGAAGAAATTAGCAGTAAGAAACTCTGGGAACAAACCAACTAAGAACCGATTGTTCAACCTACAAAATTGCAGAAGAAAGTGAAGATCGATTAGGCATACGCTGAAGAGATTGTCAAATGACACTACATACGAGTGAGACCATCTCTCGGGTGGAACGCGAATAGGGAACAAGGAGTCGGGCATCAGTGAGTGATATGGAGGAGATGAGACACTCTGGGGAATCGTGGGCCCAGCTAAAGAGGAGGACAGCAGAGAGAATAGGACAATGTGGAGATGTGCTGTTGAAGCCTTATCTTCCACTTGGGACCTAGAATCGTGACTTCCCGCACTTCATAAACGTTATCACTTGTAGTTTTCTGTTTTTCAAAATTTTGTCTTTCTCTAAATATATTATTACAAAAAAAGGAATACCTGTCTGTTTCTGACATAGAACTCTGCGCATATGTGCGGCAGTTCAAGTCGCCACACTCCATGTAGCACACAAAGCAAGAGAAGGAAGTAGGAGAAATGCATAATATAGACAGTAAACAGAGGTGTGAGACAAAGAAAAAGTAATAACGAAGAACAAAACATTTTAATTGGAAATCATAAGTCACAAGGAGTGGATTCACCTACTCTGTCATTGAGAACGATTTTGAGCCATATCACCGATTGTCTCCAGCCTTCATTGGTTTTTACCGTCCCGAGGACCCCAACCAGGACGTCTACACCTTCCTACGTGGCTTAGACTAACTGTTGTAGATTTCATCGACTGGTGCCATGTTTTCGTTTGACCGCCGCTAGCTCTTTTCCAGCTTGGCCCTATATCAACTAGCATTGCCCATCCAGGTAGGCGATGCCTAGGCATACGTAACACATGTCCTAACCATCTCAGTGGATGTAATTTCACAGTCTCGTCGACTGATTTCCCATCCTTACCTAGCACTCGATCGATGCCTCACCTTATTATACCACTTCACACGGGAGATAGAACGCAGACACCTATAATCAAAGACAGCTAATCTTTTCATGTCTTCCGCTCTCAATGGCCAGGTCTCACAGCCATTTATTATCTTATTACAAAAAAAGAATAATAATAATTTCTATTTTTAATTCTCTTTTCTATAAATTAATTAGAGAATAATTTTTCATCGTCATCATCACCGTCTCCATCTGAAGCATTTCGTCGAGCTGTAGTCAGTGATGAAAGATCATTTACACCGGATCTGTTAGATCAAGCCTGTCGTGTATTAGACAGAATTGCTGCACCTATAGATTTATGCAATAAATTCAATGAAGCTGTTCAGTTAATTAAGGTATATAATCTCTATTTTGATTATTATTATTATTATTATTAATGTTATTTTCTATTAAAAAGTAATACAAACATGTTTACTTAGTTTAAGTGTGTGTTTGTATGCAATGATGAACTGGTGCGTCGGTGGCACAGCGGTAGAATGCTCACCAACCACGCCCCATGTGGTACGGGGTTCGATCCCCGGCAACTGGAGGCATTCCTTTACCTCGCTAAGACAGTGATAAGACTGGTAAAGAGGGCATGAGGCTGGCTAGCAACCCTGGCCCTGGAGAAATAAAACACCCCACTGCTACCGAAACTTCAAGCCTCTAGTCTGAAGCCGCCTTATGTTCCACGGCTGGGAACGTAAAGGAATAGAAAAAGAAGTGCTGAACTGACCGAACAACCAACCGACTGTTTCTATATAGAACCCTTTACACAGAGGTGACTCACTGACTGATTGGTTCCAACATAGGACTTTGCACACATGTGCATCAGTTCCACTTGCCGCTCTCCATTCATCACACAAACCAACCAAAGAGAGACAGTAAACAGAGATTCATCAAAAGAGAGATAATAAACAGAAGTATGATGGAAAAAGAATAGTAAGTAATATGGAAGAAGACCAATAGAGTTTTATTGGATATGACTGACAAATCACACAAAGGTGGAATGAATCGACGCCACCATCGAGGGATCCTACTCGATTGGTGACTTTGAATAACCAATCAGAATTCAAATGCAACAAAGTTGTATAATCGTTGGCAAATACATTAAAAGACATTGCAAACACGACGTTACACTGTATTATTGTCACTTATGTGTTGTAAGAATGTCTCTCAGTCACAACAGTGAGTGATCTATAGAGAAATCATACCATGCGCGACAGATGCATTCATCCAGGTGACTGTAGACCATAGTACTTTGATATTTCAATGATATTTCTGACACTGTTCTTTAACCTACTCCTAACTTCCAGTCCTAACTTTAACCCTAATCCTAAACTTAACCCTAGACACTAAACATTAATCTTAAGAACCATAACCTTTCTTAACAGTATAGATCTACACGGAAAGTACCTAGGGAATAAAGGACAGACATGACTTGACTTGGAATGTTCTTTCATATCGTTCTCTAAGTCTGATCGGCACTTGAAGGTCGACTTTTGACAGATCTTGACTTCGACTATGATACTTTTCCTTGGATCCTGGTAGTTCAAACCTCTGTAAGTGGAGCTGAGTTCAAACCCGTGAATCACTTACTGACTGAGAGACAGTTCCACAAGAATATATACATATAACAAACTCAGCATGCTAACTCAGCTAGTGAGAACTTGTTACGTGAGCAGTGTTAGAAAAAATGAACATCTAGACAGCGCCTTATGAATCATATTTTCTTGTGAAGTATGCACACTAATGTAACAAAAGTACCCGTCTTTTTTTACCAATATGTAAAACCATCTTTATCCACTACACTTAGTTTAGCTAGAGTATGATAATAATAATTTGCTTTATTCCAGAAACAGTACTGGTGGTACAGTGTGGAATTTTCAGCACATATCTACAATATTTGCATCTAATTTTACAAACTTTTAAAAGGAGTATTTAACAAAAAAAATAAATCTAAAGACATCAGCAGCAAAAAACACAGGAAAAACAGGATAAACACAAAAATAATTATAAATGCGGAAAAATACCAAGAAGTAGAAAGGAAAATAAACATCATCATATTCATTCAGACATTTAGAAGAATATTCTTTTCGATGAATTCCTCTTCCGTCTCTACACTTTTATACACAGGATATTCTAGAATAATCATCATCATTAACAATATTGATGTTTTTTTTAAATAATATCGATTTGTTATGGTCAACAGAAATACAGTCCAAGAAGGATGCGCTATATCGTGAATTGGCACAGGTTGGAATTCATGGATTGGCCATTGCATTGGGTCCCAGTGGCTTTAATGGTCTACGAGCTAGCTCGCCTTGTAACCGGAAGGTCCTACGTTCGAACCCCAGTGGGCGCGTAGTACTGAAGAGTCCCAAACTAGGCTGACGAATCAGCTGTCCAGTACTCTTGTGCTGGTTTTCCAGTAGTTCTCTAACTGATGTCAGCTCATGATGAAATCCTGTAACCAATCAAACAAAATCCCTACAAACCAATACTAGAATAAAGATGCATAAGTTATAATAAGCATAAAAATGTTATATTAAATAGAATATCAAGTAAAATTAAGGAGAGAATTTCTGCAACACATTAAAAATCATTGAAACCTTGATGACCAAGGGGGGTGGTGGTAAGTAAAGCGTCTGGACCAACCAACTTCTTATTCAAAGTGGATTCCAACAGCCAACCTCAGCACTATGTAATAGACGAACTGTAGATTTAAAATCAAGATAAGTTGGCGGTATACCGTAGATACCTTTGAAAGCCGCCTTGTTCACATCAATTTTTTGTTCTGTATCCACAAGAGATGAGATAGAATAGAACTACGTGAATACACTTTGTTCCTCCCTTGCTACTTTATGTTTTCTGTTTGTTTTTGTTTTTTTTCTAATTTTTATTTTAGGCTGAAAATGTTATCAAAACTGAAGATGAATTAGATGTAGACGATGCACCGGATGACTATATTGATCCTATTATGGGTTATATTATGGAAGATCCTGTAAAATTGCCTACATCTGGACATATAGTTGATCGGAAAACAATCTACCGTCATTTATTAAAGTATGTTTACCAATAGTAGTAGTAGTGGATAGCTATTGAGATTAATTTTCGTCTTGTTGTTTACGTTATTTAGGCTTCGTTTTTTTTTAATATTTATTATTATTTCATTCCTTTACGTTCCCAGTGGTGGAACATAGGGCTTCAGGCTCTAGAGCTTTGAAGTTTCGGTAGCAGTGATGGGATTGCTAGCGGCATGCCTCACCGTCCCTCTTTACCGGCCTTATCTACTAGCCTAGCGAGGTGTAGGAGCGCGTTGGCCGGAGGTCGAACCCCGGACCACGTGCGTGCGTGGCTTTTTTAAAGTAAAGTTTATGAAAAAGATAAATCAGTCAGTGAGCAAAGGAATCTTCTTTCCTCTCCTGACATCTCTCTTCAATGCTGTACAGTTACAGCTGAATATATAGTGTTCATGAAACGGATGCCTATAAAGGTTATTTGTTTTAATATTCATTTGTCAACAAAACACATGAAATCACATGTCAAAAGGAATATTGATGAATAAATTACGAAACTTAATTTAATTAGTCTTACGTTTATCTAAAAACATTAACTGTGATGAATATGTGGTGAGAACTGTCTGCTAGCCAAAATTGGTAGACAGCCATTTACGTCAATGTTTACGTCTCAAATCGGGGTGATGAGAAAGAACAAGGACAAAGACTAACTCATCAACCAATCATAGCAGACTTTGCGTGGGTGGATACGATTAGCAGATATATGGTGTGACCTTCAAAGAAATACCCACAAAGGGATAATAGAATAGCTTTAAGCGAGGAAACAACCAATCAGAAGACGCTGTTTCTCTGCTAATAATAACGCTAATAATAATGTACATAAAAATCTATAAATATCTCTTGATTTCCACAATAAGCGATCTGTTGCCTAGCCCTTGTCTTCTGTCGTTACAAATATGCCTCGGCAGTGAATTGTCATCAAAATGACAAGTACTTGAAACAGGAATATTATTCATAAAAGTGAGAGGTTCAGAATATGTATAAGGTATATTTTAGAAGTCTGTTGGTGGATAGTGACTAGCATTGAAATCAAGAATTATGCACGTTTCGCCCTATCAGGGACTCGTCAGCTAGCTGGATGTACCTGCATTCCTCAGTGAGTATTGGATGAATGATGGTGTCCCCCCACTGGGGCTCGAGCACGTTGCCCATCATTTCAAAAGTCGAAAGTGTTATCCACTAGACCACTTGGACCATGAGAGCCACCACCTCTTGTGTAACGGGTATCAGACCGAACACTCAGATCCAACCAATCATCGCGAAAGTTCAAATTGAATTGAATAGTATATTTGAAATTCAAGAGTTTGAAAGGAAAGAAGAAGAAGAGCAAATGAGCATGCGTTACATACCAAATTTATTGTACAGTTAAATTGGAGAACATGTTGTAAGGTCATGGTAGTAAAATAGATTGATCAAAAACCGCTTCTAATGCACACACAATTTGGAGTTTTTGTGTGAGTCGCAAGTGCTTCTACTGTGAAGAGATGTTTTTGTTGTGGTTACGTTCTCTCAGCTGGATAGTTTACCTGCGAAGCTTTCATTGCCTCACACCAACAGGCTAGACATCCTCACCTCAGTGCATCCTTCAATTTGAAGTGAGCTTTCAAATATCTCCACGAGTTTACTAGTCATCTCCCTTGGTAATCTTCATCATAATTGTTGTTGTGTGTCCTTCCTTCTTATGGATTGGTAAGCCTTCTCTATGTCAATGTGTTGTCGTTGCAACGACTGCGTAGAACACTTCACTGACCAAAGTGGACGCCCTCTTCATCTTCGCATCCATGAACATAAACTGGTGGTCAAAAGACATGATATCCACTCTCTCATATCACTACATATAGAGAACTACGAACAACAATTCGATTGGAACAGTGTTCAAATATTAGACAGAGGAAACACCAAAAATGCCAAAGAATATTTGGAAGTCTGGTATTCTAGTGAATTGTCAATCAATAGACTCATTGACAAAGAAAAGATTTATCAATACATAAGAAGGATATCTCCTGAACAAAAAGTCAAACTTCCGGTTAAAGAAACAATCAAATACCAATGCAAGTAGATGAGATGGTGTGAAAACACCAAAACAACCAATCACGTTCAAAGTGACCAGGAGATACGACTAGTAAACTCATTGGGAAATTTAAAACCTCAACATAAATTGAGGTATGCACTGAGGTGAGAATGTTGCCTACGGGTGTAAGGCAATGAAAACTTCGCAGGTTAATCATTCAGCTCAGAGAAGACAACTACACCACAATATCGTCCCCCTGAGTGACAAATCTCTCCTTTATACAGAAGATGTAGCCGGAAACCCGTCGAGTGACTTGACCCCTTATATATATCATTTTGTGAAGGACTTTCTCGATTGATACGGAACAATTTGTATAAGAACATAGTGCTCAAGAATATTTACCTACTAGCTCGTTTATAATTTCTCCTTTTTTGATCGCCATATTGGTAGATGGATGCACGTCTAAAAAATATCCTACTGGTGTATGTACTGCCTATGTGTGTACTTAGTCCTTCACAAGTGCTGCTATTATAAGAATTTTTTAAAGTGATTAGTATACTCTTGTTATTTACAAATTTTCTAATGGTAAAGGAAGAAAACAGCATCGGTGGGGTTCAGCGCTAGAATGCTCGCCAAGCACGCCCCATCTAGTACGGAGTTCGACCCCTGGCCGACACACTCCTAATCCTCACTAAGCCGTTAATGAGACCGGTAAAGAGGGAATTCAAAATAATTCTTAATCATAAAAGTAAACTCTCTGAAGAAAAGACCTATGAGGCTCGAAGGAACTTGTGAGCAAAACAACACCACAGACTATTGGCCCAAACTAAGACACATAAACACGCACACACACTACTGCCAAATCAACATGGTCAAGCCATCAACTGATCAGCCGAAACTAGCAACAAGTCGACCAGACTCAACCACGCCTGAAGGACATAGCGCATATGCAAATCCGTTGTCTCCGACACACTGTAGAGTTCCATTATAGCCGGCTAGTAACACTCATAGCCCATAGAATGGACCAGTGAGTTAACCTGCTAACCCAACCAATCCCAACGTTAATCAAACCTGATCGGTTTGATTACACAGTAACCCCACCACATAAAAATAAACACTACTGCGGCTGAAACTGCAAAGCTCTATATGTGTGTGTGAAACTTCATCTCCGGCCATTAAATGATAGATTACTAATATTTATGAATGTAAAAACAACTTCCTTTTCGTGTTCAACGGAAGTTCATTACAACTTCAATAAAATGTGTGTGTGTGATTACTTAGCCATCTTCAATATTGATTTTTTTCGTATGATGTAAGCGTTATCAAAATGTTGAGTCCATCAAAAGTGTAAACTTTTGAATAAAATGCGTGAAGAGAACTCTTGTAACATAAAATTACGTCATAACCAAGAAAAAAAAATAAAATGAATTAGACAATCATAGAAAAATCAAAGAGGAACCATAGGAAAGTTGTTTCCTGTTAGTTTTTGGATCCGACCAGGTTATTTATAAATCCAAGACTTTTAAGTTCCCAACCAGCCGAGAAAATTATCCATTTTCAATAACAACCACTAAGTTGTGTGGAATTCAATAGCTTATGAATGGTAACTTGTATGTTATATCGCAAACTGACAATCGGATACACTTTCATCCATGAAGAATTGCGAAAGATCAATTCAAGGCTCAAGAAGATTGTTGTATGAAAACGACTATGGAAGCTTCATAAGGTTGACCCATCTAGCACAGACAGACATTCAATACGAAAACATCCAATCAATCCTGGATGTTCTATAAATTTATTTGGTGGACGGTGATTAGCAGTGGAATCTAGGATGCGCATTTCCTCCTGACTAGTGGACAACGCTTTGGCGTTTGAAACTATGGGCACTGGGTTCGAGCCTCGGTGGGAACATCATCACTCACTGGGAAATGCAGGTACATCCAGCTGGAGGACGAGTCCCGAACAGGACGAAATGCGCATTATCCTGGATTCCACTGCTAGTCACTATCCACCAATTAAATACTAATTAAATGCCAAGACATCATCGAAGCATCTGCACAAGAAGCCGACATGTCACAATCTGAGACCAATCACTTTGGTCCAATCAATCAATAGACGGGAAAATCTAAAATTCAATTAAATGTTCTATAAATGTTTTGCAGTGGGGCACGTGGGTATAAAAATTACTGACACCAATGGACAACTCAGCTGATGTGTTAAATACGCCTATTCACCCGTGGTGTTATCAACCTACTTCCTCACTGACCCACGTAAATATCAAAAGACAAAGACTGACATGTGACTGTTAGGATACAATTTTTCTTATTAGGAAAAAGCACATCATATATACATATATATGCATTAAGCCGCCATAAAATCTGTCCAAGGGCATTGGAAATAGATTATTCTGATTGGTAGGCGATTTGCCTAGGTCAGTCATTGAAAAATAAATAATCTGATTGGCTAATGATTTGACCAAGAAATTTTAGTTGTCTGTCCAATCGATTACACAATGAATCTACTATATAAGATGATTACACTATTTTAAACACTATAAATTACACCATTTTTTTGATATTCTTCAACCGTTTTTTTTTAATAAAAATTTCTTTCTAAAACACAATTTGACTAGTGATTCAACTGATCCATTCAATCGTCAACCATTATCAATGTCTCAAGTAGAACCACAAGAAAGTCTACGATCAACTATTCGTGCATGGATTAATGAACGTAGAGCACAAAAATTACAGAATACCACTACTACTCAGGCTGAACAGAATTATTCATGATTATAAATAAATAAATAAATAAATCTTTAACTTATAAAACTCTTAATCTTTTATTTATGCATATATATATATATATATACATACTACAAAATTAGTAGCATTACTTTTTTATGATATATATATATATAATCTTTGTGTGAAGTTGTCTGTTTGTTTACTTGTGCGTGTGTGTGTGTGCGCGCACGTGCGTACGTGCTTGCATGTTTTCTTACTTTAACATTTTGTGTGAGTAGGTATGAATTAATACTCAGTTTTTAATAACTTACCTTTACTTTACGCACCTTTGGCGTTTTGCACACTCATAAATTCATCACAATGATGAAATAATTGAGGGTGAATAATAATAATAATAAAGTACACAGCATTGATCCATCAGTGTCTGTGTTGTGTAAGCTAACATTAGTAACACTAACAATTAAAATAGTAATTGTTTTAATCGTACATATATGTATGTGACAGACAAAAGAGTACAACACACACATGCACGCACGCACACACAGACACACATACAAATGAATGAAATATTGTCAACATCAACAATGACAACAAAAATGCCATAATAAGAGGAGATACACACGTCATTCAATAGCACAGAATAAAGAGAGCGAGACAGAAAGATATACAATAAAATTATGTATCTTGTTTTGTTGTAATATAAATTTTTAAGATTTACAATTAATTCTTAATGAATAAAAGTAAAACTGTTTGTTTTCTTAAAAAAAAATAAACACTAGTCAGTAACTAACTAGTGTAATGTGTGTATGTGTGCCTAGTCCTTCTATGTGTTTGGTGCAGACTGAATTCTATCAGGCGGCTAGCGATCACGAAGTCGAATTCATGCAGCCGGGTGAGAGCTCGCGGCGATTTGTCATCTGAAGTGGTGACAACTAGTAGCGTCCCTATTTCTATTCAATTGCATCATAGATGTACTAATGGAGTTAACCCTAACTGACTTCAGCAACTCAGGGATTCACTTGTTACCAGGCGATAATCTCGTTCACTTAGAATATGCAAATGATATAGTTCTTCTAGGCGAAGACGCTGACAAAGTGCAGTTGAGTCTTCTGAACACCTCAAGGAGCAGCAATCTGCGAATGTTTAGCATGCGATTCGCTCCTGTCAAATGTATGATGATGCTTGCTGCAGGACTGAACTACATTGACTCCTAGCTTAGGTATTAGGAGTGAAGTGATTAGTGGAGCATGTTGACCACTTCACTTATTTAGAGAGAAGTTGCATCAGTCAGCCCCGCGGGTTTACCGCTGTCGAAATCTCAGCACGCATACAGAAGGTTCGTTTCGCAAATACCAGTGTACGCCGTCTCTGGTGTAGACGTGATATCCGGCTATCTATCGACCAAAGGGTGTGTGTACTACTCAGCAGTTCACTCTGTCCGCCTTTATGGCTTGTGAGACCTGGCCATTGAGAGTGGAAGACATGAAAATTCCGGCTAGCTGTCTTTGATCATAGACGCCTGCGTTCTATCTCCCATGTGTGTTAGGTGGTATAATAGGGTGAGCAATATTGAGGTGAGGCCTCGGTCAAGTGCTAGGTGACTTGGGAGAGAAATCAATAGACGAGGCTGTGAAGTTACGTCGACTGAGATGGTTAGGACATGTGTTGCACATGGTCAAACCAAAACATGGCTTCATCAGTCAGTGAAATCCACAATAGTTAGTTTAAGCCACGCAGGCAGGTGTTGACTTCTTGTCTGGTTGATTTCCTCGAGATAGTAAAAACCAATGGCTGGAGACAATTGGTGATTTGGCTCAAAATCTTCGTTGTCAATGGCTCAGATGCATCCACTTCTTCTGACTTATAATATCTAATAAAACTATATTGTTCTTCGATATTACTATACTTTTTGCTTCATATCTCTGTTTACTGTCTCTATTTTGCATTCACTTTTACTTTCTTCTCTTGGTTTGTGTGCTACAAGGAGGCAGTGTGGCGACTCGAACTGCTGCACATCGGTGCAAAGTTCTATGTTGAAACCGGTCAGTCAGCCATCACGATGCACTGCAGTGTGAATTATGGGTATTACATGGTTGGAGGCAGTCGGCTGACTAACTGACCAGTGTCCAATTAAAAACATCCAATATAGTGAACCTGAATAGCTCAGTGGCAACGCCTCTGACTGCAGTACTGGGTGATGAAGAGGGTTCGGATCTCAGAGGGGATATGAATTCCTTCAAGGTAGTTGCAGATACGCGTGCCTTGCTGATGAGTGCCAATTGTCACGAAATATAGGTCATATGGGACTTCCCGCCGATTACCTCCAATCATCTAATACCAACAGTAAAACTGTTTGTTAAGAAAAGTAACCTCATCCGTCAATATGTTGTAGGAAGATATTCTAAGAGAGAGAGAGATAATAAACACATATGTGACTCAGGGTAAAAGAACACTGGCAGTAATATGGAAGAAGAACAAAAGACTTTTTATTGGATATGACTGACAAATCAGAAGAAGTGATTGAATGCATCTGCGGTGTCATTGAGAACGGGGATTTTCAGCCATATCAACAATTTTCTCCAGCCATCGTCATCGGTTCTTATCATTTCCTGGACAATAACCAGGTAGTGTACACCCCCATCCCTACCTGTCTGACTAGCTTCAAATAACTCTTATGTATTCCATTGATTGACTGATGAAGGGATGTTTTGGTTTGATCATCACTAGCTAGCTCTTTTCCAACCTCATCCATCCTATGTCAGCATGCAACATTGCCGGTTTTCGAAGAAGGCAGGCGATGGCTAGGCATGCGTAACACAAGTCTTAACTATTTCTCTCAACCCATGTAACTTCACAAACTCGTCGATTGATTTTCCCTCCTTCTTACCTAGTAGTTGGTCGAAGCCTAACCTGAATATTGCTCACCTTATTATATCACTTCACACGGGAGATAGAACGCAGACAGACACCTATGATCAAAGATAGTTATTCTTTTTACGTCTTCCAATTTCTATGGGGGCATGTCTCACTCGCAGCTAGCCAGCCGTGACGGAGGACTGAGCCAAGTGACTGCTGAGCCTGAGCAGTACATCCAGTTATATATCACGTGTACTAGGCGGCGAGAGATGGTGTAAGTCGGCAGGCAAATGCCAAACAAGCCTTCTGTATCCGTGCTGAGATTTTGTCAGGGGAATGTTGTAGAAGATGTGGAGAAGCCAGGATAAACAAAAATAACCAATTCTATTCACTTACATCAACTGCGACTAGAGAAAGATCTCTTTGATACACTTACTTGCCTGTGTGGATTGGCTGATTCAGGAATGTATGTAAGACGTTAAATTACTACTGTAGAAATTTCTCGACTGTTTTGCTCAGCTTGACTTTGATTGGAATAATTCAATTAGTGGGGAATTTCGAACAAAAGTTAATCATTTCAACTAGTAGGGAAGGTGAAAAATAGGTGTTGTCGTCAGGTTGCAGGCCGTGGCTACTGGCGACGAAAAAACAAAAATGTACACGCGGCCTGCTTAAAACTTGGGCTACCGGAAACCTCCATCAGTATATTGCGTGTAGTTTCTCTTAATCCATTTGTTTAAATTAAGTAAAAATATGACAACCTCTAATAGGATTATTAATTATTCTGGGAAGTATTTACAACCTGTTCATTCACAAATTCTTACTAAACAGGAAGAAAAGCGTATTTCTCGATGGTATTCTATCCCAATATACATGAGATAACTTTTCCTCAATGATGTCCTTAGTTCACAAAATGTATTCCTGAACTTTCTATATAATTGGCATTCAACAAAATGTCGTGTATTCCCGAAGGAGAAATTAGTTTGCCCTTCAGGTCAGATAGAACTGTGTCACATGATTTACTGTCAACTAATGTTATATTTGAAGATCGTGGACGAAGAGGAAATATCACGCCTAAACTCCGCTGCAAATTCTTCACATTATATAAGCATTGTTCAGAATAAAGCTGTCGATATTAATTTTTTAAAGTCTGGTAGACTTCATGAATAGTCAGATGAAAATTTTTAGAATATGAATATTTAGCACCTCAAGAACCGCGATTACATATACCACATCGTTCAGAAAGTGTTTTTTAACCTTTGGTGTCTGGTCACCACTAACAACTCTGTTCCCAGACGCTAGTCTATCAGGTTTTGAGAAGAAAAACATGGGTTTGTTCTCATAATAATTTCAAAGTGGGTAACTTTCTTTTCACAGTTAGGGGGGAGTGCAGTTAACTTTGTAAAACTCGGTACTTTATGTATTACTTCGTGTTTTGATGATTTATAAAATGCAGTCATATACAAGTATGGTCGATTTCTTTCGCAAATGTCTATCCAACAAGTTTACTCGACGCCTCTACGACTATCAAGAGCTACTGGTTAGAAATTGAGAGCATCGGCGTCCTAGGGCTAGGTGTTTTCCAATAAAACAGTAAACAAACTGTTTTTACTGCCAGTTTGTTGCCAAAATGAGTTACTGCTTGTGAGGTGATAAAATGTATGACAAACACCGATATTGAATCGCTCATCTTACACATTTTGATTAACAGGTAGCTACTTGCTCAAAATGAATGACGTCGGTATACTTACATTCTATTCAATAAAATTGTGTACATGAAAGTCAGACCGTATGTCTAGCTTCTTGACACATATAAACTCACTAGTAAGGGGAATACAATTCATATTTGAATCGGAAAATGAACAAGAAGCATTAGCTGTCATGTTAGATTGTAAGATAAAACGAACAGAAGAAGGTAAATTGCATACTAGCGTTTATAAAAAGCTTACTCATTCTGCTAATAGAAACAGTACAGTATTTTTGTATGGGGAACGAACCCCGGACCATGTGCATGGTCGGCGAGCGTCCTAACCGCTGTTCCACCGACTCACACAAATAAAAGGAGGACCGTGACGCCTTCCCACTAACAAAAACTACACGCGCGAGCGCATCTGATTAGAGTCCGTCGCGAGATTTAACCCACCGAGGTACACTGATGAGATTCCACCAGAGGTCCGATCATTCTTGATCACCCTAAACCCGGCGTGAGTAGCATTTCGATACTATACAGTGTGTGTGTGTTCGTGGTTTTGCAATATACACGTAGATCTGTAGTTAATAAGGAAACGAATGGTTCTATTTTATCTTTAGACCAAGCGATGTAGTACTGTATAGAAATTTATACCAGTACAACTATTATTAGTCGTAACAGATTGACATCCATTGTAAGTGAATCATATAATTCTTATATGCTAGGAAAAATGTCCCAACCAGCTTGCATTTTAAGACATACTTCTGAGTTGAAGGGAAAATGATTCAATTAATCGATGAATTTAAAGAAAGCCTACTTGGACAGAGTAGTGTTTACAGCTTCTGTCTACTACATTATAAGAGAGGCTTGGTGAAGTGTTTATTCAAGAGAATTCAGCGTATTTGTACAGCCGATGTTATTATTATTATTGTTCCCTTTAGTTCCTAGAGGAACATAAGGCTTTAGCCGCATGTGTCTCCATTGCGTTCGGTTCTCTGCCAACCTTTTCCACTTGGCTCCACGTCTACTCATATGCTTTCATCTCCTCTTCGCCTCACCTCCTCCATGTGACCCTCGTACTGACGACCAACTGATTCGCCACTTTTCATTCGGGTTTCACTCGAGCGATGGTCTGGCGTGTGATACCACTTGATGGTTTTCTCAGAGTATGGCCTCCAATCCACCTCCATTTCTTCCTGCAGCTGATGTTATAGAGGAGGAAAATAAAATACTGATAGATACTCTCTCCTTGAAAACGGATGTCCTTTAAAATTTTTAAACCGGAGTAAACGTCAGTTAGCTTTTAAAAACATACAATCTATTCTGTCCCTAAGAAGGATGTTTTCATTAAATTACGATACAATAGGAAAGTAGATATTAGGATTTGAAGATAGAGACTAAACTCGAACATCTGCAGGACTTGTTATGCAGCCCAGCTTATAATTATTAAAAAAGCCAAAAATATGTGACACTATGTGTGCGTGGACACACATACACAGGGAGGTGTAATGACGCTTAGCATACATGGGTACGAGAGCATATTTTACAAAATCGATTGACGCAGGTGACCGACTACCAACTTCGTCTATCCATATGAACCGCCATAAAACTAATGTCAAAATGCAGCTTTTAAGGTTATTTTTAAAAACGGTGAAGGGCGCTTATTGAAATACGCTCAGGTGATAGCTATTCGTAAGCTTACGCCCCCCCCCTTTTGTGAGTACAAAACAATTTGTTATTACTGTTAAGTCCTTTCAGTCCCTTTGTGTATTCAAATTGGACTTTATTATTCATGTCAACTGACTTGACAAGTAAATGTGTGTGTGATCAGATTGTTGTTCGAAATGTGTTGCTCAGATACATCAGATCACATTTTTCAGATAACCTCCGTCTTCTAATAATATTATCCAAATTTATATAGGAGACTAATTGTTGTCTGTTAGTTGGTTGGTGACAATCGGCAGGAAGCCTTGCTTGACTTAGGTTTCGTGCTATCTGGCACTCAACAGTCAGTCAGCAGTGCGTATCTGTAACCATCTTGACTGAATTCTGTCAGGTTTGCAGTGTGGCCAACATTCTAGGTAGCTCGCCATTACGGTGCTCTTTGAATTGTTGATGGCGAGCTACCTAGAATGTTGGCACACTGCAAACCTGACTGACAGAATTCAGTCTGCACCAAACAAAGGAATAGACACATCACACTAGTTACTAGTGTACAATGAAAGAATGAATGTCTGCAAATTTGCTTGATAAATAAATAAATGCCAAACTTGTTATCTGCTTTTTCATTTAGTGGTCGGAATCGCATAATTGGACGACAGTTATAGTGTTTACCGCAGACGATCGACAAACGACCTGTTCTGGTTTCACACTTTTAAGGGTATAAAGTCGTATTCCTGGAAGCCGTACTACTTATTGAGCTGCCCCCTTTCCCCACGTTTCTCGTAGACTCGAGATTGTGCACCGATTCCAAGATCTGTAAATAGGCCTTAAAGTTTACCATTCCCTGAGTTCTGCTGCATACGACGAGACAAATTCGTACAACTCTAGATTCTTTGACTTCTGAAGACAAGGCAACATCACATTCACAAATTCTTAAGATTCACACACAGAAACTTCCGGACCTTATTCAAAAATTGAACACAACAACAGGTCTGAACACTAGGTAAAACTTTGGTAGTCTACACTACTGATCTCCAAAATACACACATACAGGGTTTTAAAGTAGTTCAGTCCCTTAACCACACTTGACCGGGAACCAGCTAAAGTGAATCCTTTAGATTCGGTCTACCAGTGTCTATTCTCGTGGACTTGCTGGTGTGGAAACAGTAACATTAAGCTTCTATGCAGAAAAGCAACTCTCCTCTCGACGAAAAAGCACCAAAGAACAGTAATTCGTCTGCCTGCTGTTCCAACAAATTTAAAAAAAACAAATTCAAACACAGGTGTATATAAATGTATATTTACAACCTACGAAATTTTACGATACCTTGTTCACACAGACAATGCATACACAACATAATTTCATGAGAAGAATATTACAACAACAGAAGTGTGAAACGTTATTCTTCAAGAAAATTAAAAAGCCATAGTTGACTACATCAAAAGGAAAAACAAAGGCTGAAAATAATAGAAATAATAATAATAATAACAATGGAATGCGTCTTATGATTTCAGAGATCATTATGTTTCCACTTCCATCTACCTCTTCTTACAACCAGTTCGCTTGGTCATGTGAAATGATGGAAGTGGGAGGATGTTACGCCGAAACAGTAGCAAATCACAACGAAGCACCAGTAATATATGCATATGTACAAAAGTCAAATTATAACAAGTGTGTGCGTTCAAAACTTCCAATCCAATAAATGATGACGACCAGTGATTTTCGCAATGCAAACAGATATACTACTAAATTCCATTGAAAGTAGTATGAAATTATGCATATAAATATATATGTATATCTGAAATACATTTGATCACAACGAAGTATGAAAGACAAATTATACATATCACTAAATTGATTATCACATTAACATAATATAGAATAAGATACTGATGTAAGTTATCGAAACTTTGTAACAATCAGCAGGATACCAAATATGACGACCAGTCCTGCTAATACAAGGATAACAATCATTTTACGATCTTTTGATTGATGACTTTGAGCTTTCGTCAGCTGTTTCAGGCCTTCTTGTACACGGATTTGAGTATGCTCCACATTGTAGTCGATACGATCTATTAGTGTGCCCTACAGAAATAATCATAATAGTAAGCATATAAGTAGTTTTGATAGTAATATATAAAGGAGAAACGATCATGTTGCACAATGTTAAAGAATTTTAAGTTTATGTGAAATGATTAATAAACAAATAAAGATAGTGTACACTCTCGATAAGAGGTCCTAAATAAAATGAGACGAAGCGCGCATCATCCTGAATTTCATCTACTACTGTAACGACAGAAGACAATGACCAGACAACAGATCCTTTATTGAGAAAATCAACAGATATTTACAGATCTTTATGTATATTAATGTTAGCAGAGAAGAAACGCCTTCTGATTTGTTGTTTCCTCCCTGGAAGTTATTCTGTACTGCTTGTGATTGTTTCTTAGAAAGTTAAGCCATACATCTGCGAATCCTATTTGCTCTTGTTAAGTCTGCTGTGATTGATTGACGAGTTCCTCAAGGTTAGGCTTTGTAAGCGGGTTTTTTTTCTCATGACACCGATTCGGGACGTAAACAACATGGACGAAAATTGTTGTCTACAATTTTGTCTTGTTGACACTTGTTGCAATGAATTCAATCTTGGAATATAAAAATATATGTGAATCAGTGGTAGAGCGCTTGACAACAATTCAAGGATTACGGGATTGGATTCTCGACCAACGCACACCAAAACCTATCTTAGGTAGCTGATAGAAAGCTCAGTTAAAGTGGAGAGGGTTGGGGGTGTGAGACTAGCAACCTTACCACCCTGTAAAAATAGAAAATCACTGCTGCTGTAAACACTTCAAAGCTGAAGCCCTATTTTCCAATGGCAACATAAAGGTGGTGCAGGACGGTAAAACTGATGGCTGGCGATGTAGCTCAAAGTCGTTCCCAATAACAGCGCAGTTGCATCCACTCCTTGTGACTTATAATATCCAATAGAACTATATTGTTCTTCGATATTACTATTCTTTTTGCATCATATCTCTGTTTTGAATCTCTTTTTACTTTCTTCTTCTTCTCTGGCTTTGTGTGCTAAGTGAAGTGTGGTGACTCGAACTCCTGTACATCTGAGCAAAGTTCTACGTTGAAACCAATCAGTCAGGTGGGGCAGGGTGTGGTGAATTACAGTTAAACAAAACTTCAAATGATGGACAGAGCAGTCGTTGATCGGTTATTCAATCTACTTCTTCGGTTTAATCAAGGTCGACAGCTGAGAATGAAAGAAACTCTAGTATTTCATTCCTAGACATCCCCCTTCATAACTAGAAAAGAGGACGGTAAAATATTAAGTGTATGTAGAAAACCTATATAAACTGGTTAGTATACTCATTTCTTCAACTTCCTACCTTGGATATACAAACGCAATCTAATAAAGTACTTGGTTCAGAGAGCAAGAAAGCAATCTGCTCTGATGAATGTATTAATGAAGAGCTTAATATTACTAGTAATCAGTTGCTGAGTGAGAGCGGTTTCCACCAGGAAAATTCGTCGATAAGGATATGCATCTAAAGAGACAAAGTACCAACAGTTCTGACAAAATGTATTATTCTTACAACTTCAGTTTCTCGGCGATGATAGAATCAGCGAGATAATAACGCGACACCTAAGGAATACGGCAGTAAAAGGAGCACTCAATGCAGCTGACGTATACTGTCTCTTCAAAATCACTCCACCCACCAGCTATTTTACGTTCGCGAGTTAAAGATAAATTACCAAGTTTTGCCTCTTTTTGTTGTGTGAATCTTTCAATTGGACAGCTACTCTGTAACCAGTTGAACAGGTCGTACAATTACGCGTGTTTATCGTCGGATTTCCGAATACCACCATCATGCATAGTGGTTAAGTAAGGGAAAAATAAAGTCCAATGACAGTTCTATACTACCTCTATCTCGTGGACACAGAACACAAAAATGATGTAAACAAGACTTTTTTCCAGAGTCGCCTACTGTATACCAAGTAATCTGAATGTCACCTAACTTATGTATCGAAAAGATGAAGTTGGTTGATTCAGAAGCTTTCATCATCTTGTAGAAATTTTCTCCTCAATTTTATTTGATATTCTACTTAATATCTCATTTTTGTGCTTATTATAATTTATGAATCTTTCTTGAACTGTGGTAATTCCATTGTGATCTTAACAAATCGATATTATTTAAACAAAACATCAACATTGTTAATGACGATGATTTTAGAATAACCTGTGTATATAAGGATATATATATATATACATATCATTCTGGAGATGGAAGGGGGAGTTCCTGAGAAGAATATTCTTTGCTCGAATTTTCTTTTGTCTTTTATATGTCTAATTATCAGTGTTGTTCAAAAAGTATGTACACCGAAATCACACTTAGTTTTATGATAGGGGGTAAATGTTGAAATTGTTGCAATCATAAGTAGTTAAGAGATGTGGCTCACTGGTTTAAAAAAGTCGACTAACATCAACCAATGAGTCCTGTGTTCGCATCCTACTCCACCTGGGTAAGTAACTGTAGCTCACAGCTTGGTGTATATAAAAGAAACCTGTTTCAGGTAAGACAGTTCTAACAACATGTGGTGGTTTTATTGGTGTCATATTTTGAATTAAATTCTATATGTAGGAAAATCACTACACACATGAAGGATGTTATTGGACAGATTCCACTTTTACTTTGAACATCGTCATGTTTCACGGAGAATTCATGACCTACAAATTAGTTGTGTCCTCTGAGCTGGTTGGCGATTTAATTGCGAAGCTTTCCTCGTCCTTCTGGACAAAATCGCTTCAGCGCAGGTTTTAGGATAAAATAAACTCATTCGAATTCTCCATGAATGATATAAATGTGTGTCTCCTGGCAACCATCTTCGTGACTGGTAGCCGATTTACATCTCTATTGATCATTTTTATTACTGACTTGGAATTTGAACTTTCTTTTCACGTGATTTACTTTTTATTACCTGGTAAATTTGTTCTATAATAATGTGTTTGTCAATCGCTGGTTGATTCACTTGAGTACCAGGCTTCTAGAAATTCTCTGGAAGTTTTTTTGGTGTTTCTTCTATTTAAAATCTCTACATTATGCCAACTAAATTGGTGTCCATAATTATGATATGAAAGAATATATATCATGTCTTTTTACAGTCAATTTGTGTTCTTGGATTCAGATTCTAATGTGACGCCCACTTCGACGGATATAAGGTTTATTGCAGTTCATACATGCAGTTTATTTTTTGAATGATATTTATTTTATCTTCTTTTTCTGTTGGATCTTTCTGTTTGCATAATATCGAATGAAGTGATTGGACTGGCTTGTGTGCTATGTCTATTTCAAACGATTTTAATATTCTAGCTGTTATTTCAGAGATATTTTTTTACATATGGTAGAATGAATTTTCTTGTGGTCTTTGATGATGGTTTCTTGTTGGTGTAGCAATTCGGTTTTAAACACTTTTTGATGAAATTGTGAGGATATCTATTCTTTTTGAAGACAGTTAGTGGTAGGTATTTTTCCTCCATTCTCTTCAACACCGGAGTAGTGCTACAGTGTTGTGTTTGAACTCTTTTAAACAATGTCTGCACACAGTTTCTTTTGTGGGTAATTGGGTTATTACTATTATAGTTGAGTATTTGGTCTGTGTAAGTTGATTTTCTATATACTTGTGTTTCAAAATTTACTGTTAGTTCTCCTGATTAAGACATCTCAAAAAGGGATTTATTATATAAGTGATCATTATGGCTGCTTGACTGACGGGTTTCAACAGAGAACTTTGTACAGATGAGCACTAGTTCCAGTTCCTAATCTCCATTCACCACACACAAGGCAAGACAAAAGAGATAATAGACACAGGTGTGAAGAAAAAACAACAGCAACATGGAAGGAAAATAGACATTTACTGGATATGACTGACAAATCACAAAGAAGAGTGAATGCATCTGCGCCAGCCATTGAGAACGATTACTTTGAGCCATACCACCAATTGTCTCCAGCCTTCATTGGTTTTTATCATCCCGAGGACTCCAACCAGCCAGTCAGGAAATCTACACCTTCCTACGTGCCTGGCTGGTTGGCTTAAACTAACTGTTGTGGATTTCATTGACTGATGAAGCCATATTTTGGTTTGACCTATATTAGATAATGGATATTTGCTGATGCTGTTGTCGCATACAACGGAAAGAGTACATGTATGCAACAACATCAACAAGTAGTTTTTAATTGCTGAATCTCAAGAAAGTATTTATTTTATAAGCGCTACATTAAATTCACTTGTTTCACCATCTGCATAAGGCTAAACCCTAAACAAACTAGATGACAAAGGAAGTAATTACAGATAACCACTATAATTTGTCTTTTTAAAGGTGTATACAAGTTCACACTTGGTTTCACAGCTAATAATCTAGTACAGAAAACAGGTTACAAAAAAAACGCGGAAACCAAAAATGGTTGCCAAAAAATGTATACCATATATATATATATATATATATATATATATATATATATATATATATATACATCGTAGTAAACTATCGATTTTTTTGGCATGAAAAAATATTTCGCAGATAATAAGTAGAGAAAGAGATAAGGATATTAGATGATTGGAGGCAATAGGCAGAAAGCCTAGGACTTAGGTTTCGAGCTGGTTGACTGACTTCCTGCCGGTTGCCTTCAACCAACTAATATCAGCATTTCACTCTGCACCGTAATGGTAAGCCACCTCCCTACCATTGCAAACTTGACCAGTAGAATTCAGTCTACACCGACCAAAGGACCAGACACAGATTAAACTACTCTCCAGTAGTATTTGTCGTTTTCTATGACTCCATTAGGTGGGTGGGTTCCAAAAAAAATATACAATTCAGTGGCTCATCACGTTTATCAGATGTTTTTTAAAATCGAAAATACTTGCTATTATGGTTGAGTCTTCTGTTCCTTCTGCTGCGCGGAAGCTAGTTATATAAACTGTAGCGTACTGGGAGAGAATATGACTGCACGACACACACAAAGGAGTATCTATCACAAACGTTAGAGGCTTGTTTATTTTAATAAAGAAAAAATCCCAATTTAGACATTTAGAAAACAGAAAGATTGAGCGAAGAAATATTTACTCTTTTCAGTTAGATCCTCATCTCTGGTCCTACTCTAATATACACATATAGCACCTTTTATTACAATACACAACAGTTTACCAATCAGGTGGCACTGATATGTTTATTAACAATAATTAGTCAGTGTCAACATGTCAATGGGATGATAATTAACGAAGAAAATCCATACACATTTAAAAGGTAGAAATGGTTAGAATAAATTAATTTTAGAAGGATAACACGTAATTAAAGATGAAGTGGTCAGAAAACATAAAACAGTTTGGACAATTATAATTTGAAATGTTTAGGGGGAGTGGGGCGAAGTAGTCCGGTTTATACAGTCATGTAACGATGGCATGAACAAACATATCAGTGCCACTTGATTGGTAAACTGTTGTGTATTGTAATAAAAATGCTATGGATATATATTAGAGTAGAGCCAGAGATATGGATCTAATTGAAAAGTAAATATTTCTTCGCTCAATCTTTCTATTTTGATAAACACGGAACATACCTTGATTGGACACTAGTAACTAGTGTCATGTACCTAGTGCTGTGTTTACTGCAGACTGAATTCTATCAGTAGTCAAGTTTCCAATGTGGCCACCATGCCACTAGGTGGATCGCAATCACGGTGAACTCAGAAGTCTGTACCAAACACAGTATTTAATACAGCCCTACAGGAGGTCAGTTTCCAGTCCAAATAGCTCAGTGGTAACGTCTCTTTCTGACTGACTGCAGTACTGGGTGGTGATACGGGTTCGAATCTCAGAAGGGACATTAGTCCCTTCAAGGTAGTTGCAGATACGCCTTGCTGACTGATTGTTGAGTGCCAACTAGCACGAAACCTAGGCCAGGTAGGGTTTCTTGCTGATTGCCTCCAACCGTCTAATGTGAACAATTCACACTACACCATGATGGTGAGCCAGCTAGATTGGTGGCCACATTGCAAACTCTACTATTGAGAGAATTCAGTCTGAACCGAAGAAAGGAGGACTAGACACACCAGACTAGTTAGTAATTAATGTCCAATCAAAGACAAATGTGTTCCCTAACAAGTGAACATAGCAGATCAGTTCATAAATTAGTTTTAACTGTGAACTCGGAAAAGTATTTTTAAAGGATTAAACGTAATACAGTTTCCTAAAGCAATACTAATTATTAGATCACCTGATGAGTGAAAGCAACAGTAAACTGTCAGATGGGTAACTAAGATGATGGAATAGGTGGTTTTAGGACGCTTTTGTCAGGACAGTCTTGAATTTAGTTTTGATACGATTTCATCACGAGCTAACATCGGTTAGAAAATTGTTGGAAAACCAGTTGGGAGTACTGTACAGTCAGCTGTTTCGTCGGCCTAGTTTAGAACTCTTCATCAGTGCACACCAACCCAACGGATACTCCATGCATTTCGAACATGGACTCAATTGATAAGAGATAGTATTTTGTGGCACACTTTAATGTCATCACCAACCCCGGTGGGTGCGTACTGTTGAAGAGTCTCAAACTGGGTTGACGAAACAGCTGGCTATCCAGTACTCCAGTGCTGGTTTTTCAATGGTTCTCTAACAGATATCAGCACATGACGAAATCCTGTAACCAATCAATCAAATCCCTACAAACCGATAATTGAAAGTACAATAAACTTAGATACATAAAATGAGTAATAACACAATGGATTATTAGCATTATAAATAAATAGTTGAAATTTTTACTCACTTGATCTACAACCATTTGTGCAACATCACGAAATATTTCGCTTAATTCATGTATAGATCGAACAATTTGATTAATTTCTTGTTCACGTTGTACAACCATATTTGTGTTCTCAGTTAACAGTAAACTACGTCTTTGTTTTTGTGATTCCCAAACCTAAAATTTACAATTCGAAAAATAAAAGACCGCCATCAGTTGTATAAAAATTAAAATTTAACTTACGAAGAAGAAGAAAGAGTTGGCAATGAGCTACACTTATTGGCGGCTGCTTAAAACTTGGGCTACCAAAAACTTCCATCTCTCTCTGTTACATTTATTTTCTCTCGTTCGGTTTGTTTTAATCAATTAAGATATTACCGCTCTAATGATATTATCCACTCTGGTGTGTATTTGAAATGTTTACAAGCTTCTGATTCACAAGTTCCTACTAAACTTGAGGAAAGACCAGATTGTGGGTGGCAACGTATTCCAATAGATGAAATAACTGTTCTTCTGTTATGTCCTTGGGCCACAGAATGTACTTCTGAACATCTTACAATTGGCTCTCAACCAGATATTGTGGGTGGATTTCTTGAAGGAGACAAAGCAGATATATCACACAATGGAATGGTTTATGCTTCAGCTCCTCAGAGGGCATTGTGTCACACACAGGATATACTGCCAATTAATATTTCACTTGAAGATATTGTACGAAGGGAAAATATCATGGAATAAACTCCTCTGGAAATTCTGTACATTTTATAAATGCTGTCCAGAATAAAGATGTTATTATTATAATAGTATTATTTTATGTGAGGGCTAACGATACTATCATCTGGTTGCCCAAACCTCTGTGGACCAGGCTTCGAACCCGCAGTCCGAAGTGGTTAGAAGTCTGACACCTGTTTCATTCAATGAGCTACGGCTTCAAAGAGTGATTTCCTCTCTCTCTCTATATGTTAAACTGGTTTCATGTAGCGTGCTCAAAAATCTACACCCAGCCTCTTTTCTAAGTGGTGATTAGGTGGGACAACACAAAACATGCTGCAAGAACTAACAGCAACAGAAATCTACGGTGACAATGATGTAAGGGTAAAAGACGAGAGATTTGGTAACGGAATGTTTATTGCCTAGAATTTGGTGTCTCTATATATCGGGAAATGATGTACATCTTATCTCCTAAAATCATCATTTGCACGGATCTTTCGAGTTGTGCTACTTCTGTCCTCCCTTTATATTGTGTTTCTTTGTGTTCCTTTCACGTCTCCTATGTATCTTCCCGCAACGCTGTATCATTTATATATGTAAAAACCAAGTTCACTTTTAACGGTTTGAAAAAATTTGCGCATTGGGTATATGATATTCATTATAATAAAGGTTTTTGTATTTCCAAATAAATGAAAAACAAAACGATATTGTTCTGTTTACTGACGTTTCGCTATTGAATGCTGCCGCCAATAGCTTTATCAAAGCATTATTAGACCGGAATTTACGAAATCTCAGCATATATATAACAAACAGTTAGGGGGTGAGAAAATAGACTTAGGTCAAGTTAAAGGGACATATTGAACGTAAAATTAGCAATGAAGATCACTAAACCAAATAACAAAGGTACATCTGTTATGATATCAAAACAAAGTTTACTAACTTGATTATCGTTCGTCTGTCTGGGGGAATTTTTAGTTGTCAAGTTGGTCAATGGGTAAAGATAACAAAATCAAGTGTGGATTGTTGGATTTGCTCGGTGTGCAAAATTATAAAAGTAGTGTGTGTTTACATAGTGAACTTGCATATCACATTCGTGTTGATTTTGTCACTTCATGGGGGAGGGAGGTGTTGTAACCAGCTCAAATTCTGTTTCAGTCCATCATTGTTATTCAGTTCAGACAATTTGGATTCCACTTGATATGAAGTGCTTCCGATGATGTGAGATGTTCTTTGTGAAATCTGAAGTTTTTCTGGATTATTTCAATATTGTCAAAATCAATTTTGTGGTTTGATTCTATAGCATGTAGACCTATAGCTGATGATTTTTCAAGTTTTTGTAGTTCGACGGGATTTCTCGGTGGTCGAAGAGATGCTCTACGGTGTTCATTTCTATTATTACCTTTGTTATTTGGTTTAGTGATCTTCATTGCTATTTTTACTTTCAATATGTCCCTTTAACTTGACCTAAGTCTATTTTCTCACCCCCTAACTGTTTGTTATATATATATGCTGGGATTTTGTAAATTCCGGTTTAAGAATACTTTGATAAAGCTGTATCATTTACTTTCTCTGACATCAAATCTATCTCCTTGCTATTTGATGTTTTTATGCCAATGAAAATGTCTGTATATACTACTGATAAATGCTATCAGTAGCACACGTCACAATGGGTAGAATTTTATTGGAGCGGTGTCTGAATTTCGGTTATATTTTTTAATTTTAATTTTGTTATGGCCTCATTTCACACAGTATTTTGGTACAAGTATGGAATTTTCAGCAGGTGATATCAGTAGCCCAATTTTAGCAGGCCAACAATTGTCATCACAGGTGTGCTGCGTTGGACGGGGGTCGAACCCGGACCATGTGCATGGTTGGCGAGCGTCCTAACCGCTGTACCACCAACGTGTGGAATAAGTACAACACAAGTGATTTTATGACATTCAAGGGTATACAATGGCATTTCAATCCTCCATTTGCTAGCTACCGGCGTGGGATATGGGAAAGGATGATATGCTTGGTTCGCAGACTACTGTTAGTGATTTCTAAGGCGCGCAGACCTTGCACGATGATACTTTAGTTACCTATTTTGTAAGAGTTGAAAGAATTCTGAGCAATCATCCCATTGTCCCGCTGATGTCGGATGAGAAAGATAACTTAGCTCTAATGCCTAATACCCCCCCTTGCTGCTGAGAGACTGTGATGGTCTAAGAAAAACAAAACCTACATCAATCTTAAATCAGTTTGGAAATTTCCGCCACTCAATCAGCCAGCATAAACAACAAGATTCGGATTCTGTTCAACACAAATATGAAGTCAGTCAGTCAATGTTTCTATATGGGTCAGAAACTTGCACTGCACGTGAGTCACGAAAAACATTTCCAACAAGCCAGTGAAGAGTTTTATCAACAGCTGCCCCCTTCGATGGCTCCATACTAAAGATCAAGTGGCTGGCCGACCAGAAAGAATTAGCAACAAGAAACTATGGGAACAAACTAACCAAGAATCTATTGATCGACGAATATGTAGAAGAAAATGCAGATGGATTAGGCACACGCCACCGTCGAGTGACACAACGTGCCAGGCCATCACTCGAGTGGAACTCGAATGGGAAACGACGAGTTAGGTGCTGGTTAGAGGGTGACACAGGGGAGATCGTGAGTTGAGGAGGAGAAGAAGAAGATGAGAGACTATGGGCAATCATAGGCCCAGCTAAAGAGGACAGCAGATAAAAGAACAAAGTGGAGGCGTGCTATTGAAGCCGTATGTTCCACTCGGAAGCCAAGGGAACTATAAATAATAAAATATAATAATATATGATTCTGCAAAACAGTCAAGTGTCTAATTACATGTCGTTTCTAAAACCATTCAAGTTTTTCGTCTGTTTTAAAGGTTAAATAAAAATAAAGTCCTATGCAAACAGGGTATTATTATTATTTATCTTATTCCTTTACGTTCCCAGTAGAACACAGCGCTCCCAGCTAGAGCTTTGAAGTTTCGGTAGCAGTGGTATTTATTTTTACGGGATGGGGTTGCTAGCCTCATGCTCAACCTTCTCTCTTTACCAGTCTTGTTACTGACTTAGCGAGGTAAAGGAGTGCGTCCAGTGGCCGAGGATCGAACCCCAAACCACATGCGGCGTGGTTGGCGAGCATTCTACCGCAGCGCCACCAACACACAATGCACGCACGGTAATATATATATATATATATATATGACAAGTTATTAACTACAGTATGATGTTACAGTGTGTCGTAAGTAGTAAAGTCTAACTTTACAGTCAGTCGGTGTACTGAAAAGGCCACTACTTGATTAAACACATAACAATATGACGACAGGGAGAGGAAGAGGGAGAAAACGTATATCAAATTACCTCATAAACTTACAGCATAATCGTCATCTTCAAATTCATTTACAAGTTTCGAGGATGAATTATCGCCTATATTCAAATCTATGTTCAGATAACTGCGTATCCTTTCATCTCTAGATCGTAGTTCTAAGAAAAAGTACAATTAAAAAAAGTATGCTCAGTGAAGCATTGCAACTGACGTATATATATTTGATCAGAATGCACACACATATACATACATACCCTTGTAGTTCCTCTGAGAATGAGCAAACCTTATGAATAAAATTCAAGTGTTGGCTTCCAGGGATTCGATTGGTTACAAGATTTCATCATGAGCTGACATCGGTTAGAGAACCATTGGAAAACCTGCACTGGAGTATTGGAGGGCTGTTTCGTCAGCCTAGTTTGGGACTCTAATGGGAAGTCGTGACCAGTAGGATACATTAGGTCAGATGTGAGGATAAATACCCACCAGCGATGACACTGGTTAGTGCCAGTCGCGTCATATCATGAATTGGCAGAAGTTGGAAGTTATGGGCTAGCCACTGAATCGGGTCCCAGGGGCCCTAATGGTCTACGAGCTCGCTCGCCTTGTAACCCGAAGGTCCTGGCTTTGAACCCTGGTGGTGGGACGGATGTATACTTCTGAAGAGTCCCAAAATAGGCCGACAAAAAAGTTGTTCAGTACTAGAGTGCTAGTTTTCCAAATGTAAGTGACCAAAATTTTATCCAAATTGGCAGATACATAGAGACTGATCCCAGTGGAGTTGAAACATGATGGGGAAAGACATTAGTAATAAGCTAGACAATACTCGCCAACTAGTAAGGCTCCTTCAGCAAAACAGGCTCTTGTAAATTAAATGACCTCCCAGAAGGACAGAATTTGAGAATAACACCTCAGGAAAGACGACCAGGACATCGAACAAAATAGTTTATGGAGTTCATATTTATTGCTTACAGTTGCCTACCATCCAACTCCAGCCTGAATGGGATGTAGACAGACGCACCCCCAACCATACATAAGGATATGACAACTGTCTCTAATCTAAAAACGAGACAACAGCAGCAGCAGTACTTGATGGAATGACTCCAGAAGTGTTGAAGAATGATGATAGCCAACTGACTAGATTAATTAACGTATTAGTTACTGAATGGGAATCCAATATAGTTTTAACAAACTAATGCACATCTCAGGGTATAGAGAGGGAAGAAGACCCTCCTGTATGAATCACAGGAGTCCAACTAGACCTCAGGGCCAGACGCGAGTGCACTTAGCATATGTCTCTCCTTTGACAAGCTGTGAAATACAGGTATACTTACTCGAAACTCAATATTTGACATGCTTATCGACCTTAAGGAAGTATTTTACTTCATTGATCGAAATGCACTGTGCCGCATAAAGTATAGCGTACAAAACAATACAATACAATTCAAACACGCTGGGCAAAAACTTAACCAAGTTTGGCATGCAATTCTCATCTGTCATACGTGTATATTAATGACACAAGAACGGTGTACTTAGACATCAGTGGAAAAAAGAGCTTCAAAATTTTGCAGGTTACTTACAAATAAAACGAAACTTACTATTCAGATAGTCTGATTGTGCTTTCCGGAATGCAACTGAAAGATCCTGAAGAGTTCGAGCCAAACTGCATAAAACATTTTCAGCTAATTTTGATTCTTGAGATTGTTGCCATAAGGCTGAGGAACGTTTCAATTTAGATAGCTGACTAAGCTGGCCATGTGATAAGTTGAACAACTTTTTACACCAACAATTTAACAACAATGCAGTGAGGCAGAATGAAAAGAAAGAAAGGACAGAAGAAATTAATGTATTGATATAGAAACCCACATACTACAGTAGAGTTCAAAAAATATGCATAGGATCTTGTGACTTCTTTTCTTAGCTAGCTGGAATCTTAACCATGAAATGTTTATCATCCCGTAATAACATGTCTGACTGACTGACTGGTTTCAACGTAGAACTTTGCACAGATGTGCAGCTGTTTGAGTTCCCACACTCCAATGAATCACACAAAGCAAGAGGAGAGAGTAAAGAGAGGTCCGAAAGAGAGAAAGATAGTAATCAAAAATATGAGGCAAAAAGAATAGTAATATCGAAGAACAATAGAGTTTTATTGGATATGAGAAGTTACAAAGATTGAATGTATCTGCGCCATTGAGAACGATTTTGAGCCAGATCAGCAATTGTCTCTAGTCATTGGTTTTTACCGTGCCAAGGACCTCAACCACACAGGCAGTCTACACCTCCCTACGTGTCTTAAACTAACTGTTGTGGATTTCATTGACTGATGAAGCCATGTTTTCGTTTGACCACCACTGGGTCTTTTCCAACTTGATGCTATGTCAGGTAACATTGCCTGTCGAGGAAGGCGATGGATGACTGGGCATGCGTAACACATGTCCTAACCATCTCTCTTAATCGAGGCAACTTCACAACCGCATCGATTGATCAGCCGTGCTTACCTAGCACTCAAGCGAAGCCTAACCTTAATATTGCTCATTTTCTTATACCACCTAACACGGCACTTATGATCAAAGACAGATAACCTTTTCGTATCTTCCACTTTCAATGGCTATGCCTCACAGCCATAAAAGAGGATAGAGCGAACTGCTGAGCAGTACACACGCCCCTTGGTTGACAGCCAGATATCACGTCTACTAAGCCCGAGATGGCGTAGGTTAGTTAGCATATACCAAACGAGTCTTGTGTATCCGTGTTGAGATTTCGTCAGCGACCAACCCGCTGAGGCTGATGCAACTTCCCAAATAAGTAAAGTGGTCAACAAGCCCCACCACCTTACTCTCTATCTTTAAGCTAGGAGTCAGTGTAGTCCAGTCCACTCCTGAAGCATAATCTTACATTTGACAGGAGCGAATAGCATGCCAAACATTCGAAGATTGCTTGCTGCTCAAGGTGTTCAGAAGACTCTGCATTTTGTCGGTGTCTTCACCTAGAAGGTTGGACTATATCATCTGCATATTCTAAGTCAAAGAGATTATCCCCTGGTTACAGGTCAATCCCTGAGTTGCTGAAGTCAGTGAGGGTTAAGCCCATTAGTACATCTATGATGAAATTAATCCGAAATGGGGACAATGCGCATCCCTGACGGACACCAGTAGTAGCACAACATGGATGTTCTGTGCAAATGACGATTTTCATATAGGGTGTACACATAATTTCTCAATATAGAGATATCAAATGCCAAATAATAAACATTCCGTTACAGTCTGGATGAGGTCCTCGAGATGGTAAGAACCAATGGCAGTGGCTGCAGACAATTGGTGATACGGCTCAAAATCGTCGTTTCCAATGACAGTGCAGATGCGTTAACTCTTTTTCCCTTATAATTCTTTATTATGTCTTTTGAACTTTCATTTACTCTCTTCTCTTCCCATGTGTGCTACATGGAGGGAGTATGGGAGCTGGAAGTAGTGTACATGTGTGCAAAGTTCTATGCTGAAACCAGTCACTTAGTCAGTATTTGCATTCAATAAACTCATACGATAGTAAAGACAAACTAACAAGAAGACAACCACACTGTAAGTACTTTCACATTACAATTGGAGACTCTAATACGATGGTAGCATACACTCGACAAATATGTGCATACTCTTACACATTAGATGAATCCTACTTATTGTATGAGGGGGCTAAGTGAGACTCGAACTTGTGATCCAACGGATGAAAAATAGTATTTCAAGGGGATGATATGATGGTTGATTTCCAGTCTAGAAATAAACCACCAATCAGTTGTCTCATAGACGGGTATACAGATGACTAATGGATTTTCTTTTCCCACGCCCACATCATTGGCCTATATATATATATATATATATATATATATATATATATATAATTTCCTTTTAAAGCAATTAGTTCCCTTGATGAATTTCAACAGAACAATAGGAAGATGTAGTTTATCTGAAACGTGTAATGGATTTGCGCAATACATTTTGGACGTTCTGATCACGCACACGTACTTCCTATGCACATTCATATAGAAGGCAAGAGAGCAGGAATTATTACAGTACAGGTCAAGGCCACAAACAAGAGGTAGGAAGATGACGTACGGGTATAGGGTAAGAGAACAGAAGGAAGGGGGCAAAAATATCATCAGGTAAATTGAACCTCAGTTCTAAATTAGATTACCAAGGCAGGTTTAAAGTGATAACAAATAGTTTTTTGGACATATCAGACAGGTTTAAACCTTTTTATCACCAAGCCTTCAACGAATTTAAGTATGTGATGTGACCCAAACCTGTTACATATATATTGGTTTAAAGGCATTATTGAAACTAACGCCTTGTGACCCGTCTCTATGATGTGCTTTTTGATAGATGATGTTGGACATCTATTTCCGGGATCAATTGTATCCGGTGATTTTATTTGTTGTTGCAGCCACTTCTTTGGAATATGTTCTGTAGCTGTAACCTGCATAGACCGATGGGTCCTGCCTATGTACGTGTCCACACATACATGTAAATTGCTAAACACAGTCGGATGTGACACCATCGTTCGGATGCTATAAGGGTTTACAAGACAGCACATATCTCATTTTCTCCATGAAAGTAAGTTTGGCTGCATAGTAAGTTGTTCTACTAATTGCCAACCTGAGTCTATATTTACTGAACAGACTTTGTTGATCACACCGAAATGTGTTTTGCAAATACATTACACATTTCGGATAAACTATGTTTTCCTGTTGTTTTGTCGAAATTATTTCCTTTTGTAAATATACTTTTCGTTTCACCTTCTTTTATATTCGCTCTTAAGTAACGGACTGGGAAACCATATAGCTGTTGATGTAGACAGACGATTTCGTGATCACCATATCTGTCAGCAGCTAAGCGTCCCTATTCAACTCAACGTTTTGCAAAATATGCAAAAATAAACCACAAAGTGTAGTGTAGTTTCCATACTTATTCAAGTGACAGTGAAAATGAGTAACGAAATATACAATCTGAATTTAGAGTAGCCACCTACATATCTACCTACCTGAGTAAGCTCTTTTGTTTGAAATTCTATTTCTTGATCTTCATCTAGATTATCATCTAAATTCGATGCCATAAGATGTCTGTCATGAAGTGCGATAACTTCTTTCACTAAAGGCAAAAATTTTATTTTAAAATTAAAAAACCACGAGTGAAGCATGTACTTACTTTTTTGTCGTATCATACTAAAGGTGTATTGAAGTGAATTCACACTATTTTGCCTACATGAATTATTGATTATTACAGGCAGAAATTAAAAACAAACCATTCTTTACGGAACTTTTCAGAAGACGCTCTTTCACCACTTCTATGCTTAGATTTTGTTGACACTAATGCCTCTTGGTCAGACTTCTAAATGTAAAACAAAATTGTTTTAATGCCATAATACTTTGTTGAAATGTATAAGATACTAATTTTAAACAATAAGAAATATTCAGCAAGTTAATAGATGCACAAATTTTACACCAAAATATGAAATAATTAATGCATTTTAAGGATTAAATATAAAAACGTCTTTGAAAAAGCTGGTTTTGAAACTCTACTAAGTTGTGTGTATGACACTGATTACACGTCAAATAGAAAACAAAGATTACCTCTCTATTCCCATCCAAACTTTCAGATACCATGTAAAACACAAACGCATAGTGCTGCTTGTTATACTGATTAAAAGAGGCTATTATTGACCAAACCAATGGATATCCTCTAATACTAACACATCTGTTTCACCATAAGATTTCAGTTATGTATTACAAGGAACTCCCTAGTTGTAATTTAAAACTCTTGAGCTTTGTATCTGGTATTTTACTTACAAGTGCACAGCTATGTCTGACATTTATATAGCCCATTAGCTCATCATGCAGATTAATTTAGCTTATACAGTTACAAGCTCAGCATACTGGCCTACGGTCTTAATAACCCACCCCTCCGTAACTATTTTATATCAATCATAAGGATGTATAGTATTAGATTTTACATTATCAGATAATGAATTTACGCATGTCAAACTCGTATGTCATGTAATTAAGAAAACATAAGATCTGTTTTCGTAACTTGAAGGCTGTACAGTTAGTTAGGGAGGGGGTTATATGTGAAATATAGATTGACAACAGAGGACAAAGGTTATTGTCACTTAGTGAGAAAGCTAGTCAAAGTACATGAGTAATAACCATGTTTGAATAGTTAAGAATAGTCTTACGTATTCAAGAAGGTTGATAACTGATTAGTGAGTTGTGAACATGAGAATAAGGGAAAAATTCAGCACCCAAACCAAGAGATGGCAATTATTTGGAATTATTGAGAAGATACCCTGAAAAACCTATAAAAATTCAGATCTAGGGGAGTATGCACTTCAATTATCTTCTTAGTACGTGACCAGGACGTAGGACAGAACATCTGGAGGAGTGATTCGTTAGACTTACCAACTGCACTAGAGTTACCCCGCACCCAACTGCAATTTGGATGGCATGCAGACAACTCTAGCTATTATTCCAAAGGGAAGCAAAGCGGCGATACGTGTGTTGATTTGACTTCAGAGGTGATGTTTCAGAAAAATGGTGACAAATAATTCACTATGATAAATAAGGAGCTACTTAGTGTACTGGAATCCAAGAGTTCAGACAGACTAGTGTACAAAGTTTGTCTGCCCAGTTTATTAGAGAAAATCTAGTGATAACCACAGGAAATCAAGGTGATACGAATTTTGAGATGACTTTAGAGAAAAGAAATCCGTAAGAACTAACCTAGTCCTCAGCTGAAACGATTGTGTACGGATCAAATATCTACCTTTTAACTTGTTTTGGAATAAACATGTTCAACCATTAACATATTTTTTTGCCATGAGAAATGCATTTGGTTCCGTCAACCTAGTAGTATTGTAACAATAATACGACACATACTACTGATTACTGTGAGTAGTCGAAAACCACTCACCAAAACATCGAACAAACACGTCACTTATGTGCAGTCGTGCTTATCACTATTGTTACGGACTGACTTTGCTGAAAAATGAGTCAGTTCGAAACGCCAAAGTTCTAGCTAGCTAATGGGATGCCCTAGTAATACGTAAAATAAGATGTTATTCGCAAACTACACAATTCAAGGTGAATTTCCACCAGGGTTCCTTTCAGAAACCCTGAATATTCCGATAACAATCTGTGACATTCTAGGCACGAAAAATAAAGGCAATACCTAACTGTGAAGGTAATAGTGTGAAAGCATAATATTCCATACACGCCATACAAATTCATACATCTATATATAAGAGTTACCATCTGAAGTGACGAAAAAAATGACTACGGTCTTCATGCTCTCTCTATTTGTGTCAATGCGCGAGTGAAAAGATATCGCAGTAACCACCACTCGCAAAGGGGGCTCTAAGCACTGTCCTTCGAGCTACAAGCCTATGATTATTACGAGCAATCTGGACAAGATACTAGAAGGGACAACCAGGGAAGCGGCCATAGGATATCCAGAAAACAACTTAATATTCAGTGCACGACACGGTTTCTAAGGAAACCCCTCATATCTACCCAACCTCACAGCAAGTCGAGTCCAGAGGTATGACTAATTTATCATACGAGGAAAGACGTAACGGTCTAAATCTCTAGTCCTTAACACACCGTAGGTATAGAGATTTCATCTACCTTTTTTCCTTCCTACTAGGTCCGGACATCTCAGAGGACATAGCACGACAGTTCAAAAGCCAAGGAGGAACTATATTACTGTGGGGTACTGATTCCCCTAGTCAATCATAAACCCCTTAAGTCGAATTCCAGAAGAAATACCTACGCTTTCAATCGATTCGTTCAAGAATAAATTAGATAAGCATAGATTACCATTACAAAAGAATTAGCAGACTGGAAGACTCCTGTCCTCTACCAAAAAGCTCAATCTGATCAATCACGATCACATGAGAACTGTCGAACACTGCAAAGTCACCACGGAGAAAAAGTGCAACCGAAGCATGGAAACAAATACTCAGCTGGAGTATTAAGTTAGTCCCTTGAAACAATTCCCTATGCATTACTCAGAATACTGGTAACCCAGGATAACAGTACTTTTATAACGACTCTCCTACAGTTTTTATCAATAATAGCATATCAAGTTTAGAGGATGGCAGAGCACATTTTGTCGAATTACCTGAGAAAGCAATTTATACTTGTTTGAAATAGCCAAGTAAACTACAGATATAGTTTTTGAATGGCTAAGAAACTGTTGGTATATAAATGAATATACACAGACGTATATATATAACTATATTTGACTGTAGTAGTAAATTACTGAAATGCGTAATTAAACACATTTCAGTAATTTAAATATCCCCGTAGTCTATTCACAAATTGCTTAAAGAACGAGTTTTTTCAACAGACTTTTTTTATACTTTACAGTTATATATCTATGAGTGTTAGAATACAATATCCAGTAGAGGCAAATCATATTATATTATATACTGGAGTACGTAAGAAAGACTTGAGACTGACACGTTTAGGAACAACCCAGCTACAAAACCGAAATGTGGGCTTACATCATCACGGAAAAAGCTTCTGTTCTGAAGGGCATTATTTCGCATAAACGTAAAGCTTTCCGTTAACGACCGAAACGCCATCACAATTTTATACAACGCGGTATACTTCAAGGCCAATATCCAATATCCAATATCCAATATCTTTTTACGAGCTAGTATAAACCAATTTGATTTCTTTGCGCTCGCCTCTTGATTGTAAGGTAGAGGTTCCTGATCTTTGGTAAACGTCTGTGTAGCTCGTCCCGCCACTCGACTGTCGTAGCTTTGGTTGACTCCAACAGGAGTAGTGCTGGGATTAATTATATGGCGTCTGTAGTATGAAGTGTGTTAGGACTGTTACTACTGTGAATGGAGTTGATCCTTTCACCAGTTAGTCTTTCGGTATCGTCGTCAATGGAAAAGAGAAATAATAATAATAATAATAATAGATATAATTAGTAAAGGTATTCAGACTAACAGACAGAGAAAAAAAAAAGAAAACGTAACAACAGTCAGTCAACCGGTATACATATATATATATAATATATACCAGTAATAATGATAATAATAATAATAACAATAATAATAAGTGTAGTTAAAGCTGTCAGGAGAGTAAGACTGAAGGGAATGTGAAGAAGTAAAACGACCAGTTTAATTGTCTATCTTTGAATGGTATATGCGATTTTAAGGGGATAGGCCATTTGGATACAGTCCTTGTGTCACTGCAAGGTTGTCCAGCCTTCGCTTAAAGGCGTCCACAGATGGTGCCATAGCTACATCTGCCGGTAAGGAATTCCAGGGACGGCAAACCCGCAGGGAAAAGAAGTGGGAGCGCACCCGGGTCCTTGCCCTCTGATGAGCTATCCTTCTGGGATTTCCACGAGGGAGCCTATACCTACTCAATGGCAGAACACCTTTGTTCGGGTGATTCTGATCATTTGTTCTTTTGTAGGCAGTAATTAAATCCCCCCTCAGGCGACGGTAACTGAGTGTGAATAGGCCTAATTTCTTCAGCCTTTCGTCATATGGTTTATTTCGGAGTCCAACCACTCCTTTTGTTGCCCGTCGTTGGGCTCTTTCCAAGAGGTTGGCGTCTCTTTTAAGCAGTGGGGGTGCAATGATATTATGCACTTCAAGATGCGGTCTGACGTATGTTTTATACAACCTTAGAAAGAGCTCAGGAGTGAGTGCACCTAATTGTCTATGTGTAAAGTGTATGACCGCATATGCCCTCGCTACATCCCCCGTGTAATTCACGCTTGTGTCCATTTTCTCCGTTAGAACTAGACCTAAGTCACGTTCCGACGTTGAGCAGGACAAGCTTTCATTGCACAGGGTGTAACTTGCATTCTGCAGTCTACAGGTGCGTAACTTCACTACTTTGCACTTTTTCAGGTTGAAAGTTATTCCACTGGTTACCGCCCAGTCTTCCAGAAGCCTTAGATCTGCCTGCAGCCTATCTGAGTCCTCCGGACACTTTACCGCCCTCCATATCTTTACGTCATCAGCGTATAGAAGAGTCGGGCAGTTTAGACGGCATGGTAAATCATTGATAAAAATCAAGAACATCAGTGGTCCCAGGATAGAACCCTGCGACACTCCTGATGACGAGCTGTGCCAAGATGATCGGACTCGGTTGACCTTGGTGCAAAATTGCCTTCCAGTTAGGTAGTCCTTCAACCATGACAGAAGTGGTTTACCTAGACCTACCTGGCTTATTTTGTGTAGGAGAAGGTCATGGTGAACAGTGTCAAATGCCTTCTCAAAGTCTAGAAAGATCACATGGACAGGAACATTCATATCCCAGCATGATGTCCAATCGTCCCAAGCTGATAATAAGTTAGTGACGCAGGATCTTCCTTTCCTGAAACCGTGTTGGGCTTCATGGAGTATTTTAGACCTATCCAGATATTCCCTGATGTGATCATCAATAATACTTTCCAGTACTTTCGATACCACTGGGAGTAGAGCTACTGGTCTATAACTGGTGGGATTTTGCCTATCCCCACCCTTGAAGATCGGAGAAAGGATGCTTCTTTTCCATTCCTTTGGCAGTTTCCCCGATTCCATGGAGTGTTGGAACAAGTCGCATAAAGGCCTACAGAGAGCTTCGGCGCACTGTTTCAGAACAGATGGCCTGATGTCATCACAACCTGGGGACTTCCCAGGTATGAGCCGCTGCAGCTTTCTCAGTACTATTGCAGGGTTTATTTGAGGGGTGGCTATTTGGTCTTCCTCCTGTGAAATAGTCATGCCACCATTTTGGTTCGTAACGGTAATACCCACATTGCTGTTTAGCTGTTTGGCGAAGGCTAAACTGAATGTTTCAGCCATCTCCAGACTAGTGAGATATTGACCGTTTTGGCCTACTAAGGCGCAAGCCCCTTGGTTGGTTGGTTTCCTTTCCGACATGAATCGGTACAAATTCTTCGGGTTTGCCAGGAGTTTTTTAGCAAGGTTAGCCTGGAATGACCTTCTGTCCCTCCTGACTCTTGCATTGCACCGGTTCCTGAGTTCCAGGTATGCATCATGGTCGATCTGGCTTCCAGATACGCGCCACGTAAACCAAGCCTTCCTCTTTGCTTGCAGAATACGCTGCGTGCCTCTCTTTAACCATGATGATTTTCTTTTTGGCTGTGCTGTGACTGAAGGGACGGTATCCGAGATCGCTGTATGAATAATCTTTTTTACCGCTTCCCAGTGTTCATCCACAGACAGCTCATCCCATGCTAAGGGCCAGTCTGCATCGAACAAGAGCCTCCGCATTTCAGCGTAGTCAGCCTTGCTGTAACACAGACATGGTTGCGTAGCGTCCCACTGCAAGTGCTCACGGAGAACGAGGTCGAAACCTATGACTGCATGGTCACTACTTCCTAGAGGAGTCATGACCTGGACCTTTTCGACGAGTAGTTGGTCACTAGTTAGAATGTAGTCTAGTTTTGATGACTTTCCACTAGGGCCCCACCTAGTGTCGTCTCCAACATTCTCAGTCAGTCCCGTGTTCCGAATAGCTTGCAGTAGATTTCGGCCGAATTTTCCCTTAGCATACCCCGAGCCAAGGTTCAGTGATGGGGCATTGAAATCTCCAGCAATGGTGATTTGGTCATAGCCCAAGTCTCGTATCCCTGTGATAGTGCTGAGCAGTAGCTGATTGTGCTCTGCCCCACAGGTGGGAGATCGGTAGATGCCACCAAGTAAATGCTTGGTGTGGCCTACGGTGAAATGACACCATATGGAGTCTGGGAGTTCAATAAGTGGTGGGTCCGTTGCGCGAACACATTTAAGTTGCCTATCAAAGTATATGGCAACTCCCCCTCCTTCCTTATTGTCCCTGTCTCTCCTGACCAAAACCATATCACCTATACTGATTTCATTATCGGCGATAGTGGGGGTTAGCCATGTTTCGGTGAGAATGATTATTTTCAGTTGTAGGTGTGCTTGGAGATTTCGGAGTTCACCAATTTTTACTCTCAGCCCCCTCACATTGCTATACAGGCAGCTGACAGTGAGTCTTACAACCTCAGCGTGTTGTGGGGTAGTTGACGTGAAGCTGTCTGCTGGTAGGGAACTTAGTGTTGGGACTAATTGGCCAGTTCCGATGGAACCGGCCCATTGTGGTATTTTCCCTTGGATTTAGGCAGGACACTTGGGTGGCACAGACTGTTATTCTCAGAACTGCATCGCTCGAGTGTCACTGAAGCTTGGGGACGTATTAAAGCCTCAGTTTGCTGCCTCCTTATGGTTCGAGGTCTGCTTTCGCAACATCGGATGTTTCCTCCCAATTTCCCCTTGATCTCATACCACCGTTGAAGTGTTATGGCCAACTGCTCTGGGGAGTTGAATGTGACACTAAGCAGCCTTGGGGAGCTAATCAGTGTGAGATGAGCGGGGCGAGGTAGTCGGTAAACGGAGATGGCTCCAGAAGCGCCAAGGGCCATCTGAGACGACAGCCATCTCCACTGCTGTACGTCATGCATGTGTTTTTCACAGGCAGTGCCCGTTTCCAGCTCCGGGACACCGTGCACTACCACAGAGGTGGAAGGCAAAAGTTCCGGTGACTCCCTTGCCATTTGTCTGACAGCCCATGGTCTGTCTTGTCTCACCCTTATGTTAGAGCTTCTGTCGATGGCTAGTACCTGAGCCATCAATAGTACCTTTTCGGCCTCTTCGGCAGAGTCCAGTGTAACCCGTAATGGGGGTGGCTTACCTTGAGGTGTGTGGACACCCCTATACAGCCTGCACAATTTCACTGAACTAATATTCAGACCTAGTTTATTGCACAGGTTGGACCACTGTTCCTGATCAAACAGGGCCCGCTGTTCAAGCAAGCTGTCCTTGCTCACAGGTACGTTAAAGAGGATGAGCGAATTAGACCGATTAACCTCAGACTTAGGTTTGGCCTTTGGCTTCTCATATCCCTTTGCAGCATCAGCAACTTTAGGCTTCATCGGGTTCTGACCAGCCTTTATTGTGTTGCCAAGCTTGCTTGTGGATGCAAGTGGTGCTTCTCTAACTCTATCTTTCCTTGATTTTTTAGGTCCAGCCTTATGAATCTTCACCTTGGTAAAATTGGCATTTTCGGTCAGTAGGACAGGAGTGTCCTTCTTACTGTCTGTGCCAAGTTTTGGCAATGTGACGTTAGCAGGTGGGGAGCTACATAAGACCGTGTTGGGACACAAGGGCGGCGTGTTGTTTCTGCTAGCCGCAGACACGCTCTGTGTGACTACACCAGGGCGACAGAGTGGACAGATGTACCAAAACCACGGGCATGGGTTATTTCTCATAAACTCGTAGTATGATTTCGGTACCTCTTTGTCGCAACGGCAGTGCACCCACCGTTTGCAAAAATTGCATTCGAAAGCTGAGTCAGCTTTAGAAACAATGATATTGCACGCCTGGCACTCATCTCCCTTACTTGGTGACGCCTTCGAGGTCTTATGACGTCTTGAGCGTTTCCTTTTAGGTTTGTTATACTTCACACATTGGCTTTTAGTTGGTGCAGGTGTAGTAGTATCCTGTCCTACTAGTATTGCCTGAGCCGTTTCAGTACTAGACTGTGGCACTGCAGGCATAGTATCCGGACAGACGAGTCCTACACGGGTCTTTAGGATGGGTATGCAATTTGGGGTTGGTG